TTCTCTCTTCCTTTCCTCAGCCTTCCGCTGTTCTTCTTCCACTTTAAGCCGCTTCGCTCTCTTCTTCTCATCTTCGTACTGCTCGTCATGAGAGATTACCTGTCGCTGCTCTTTAGGCCTAAAGAAAGCTGCGGCCTTAAGCTTTAAGGTTAATACCTCTGTCCGTGAGCCAGTAGCAACCTCAATCGAATCCGCTCGTTCGCTCGAATCTCCATCAGAGCTTTCACATTCGATGACGTTGCTGACTAGAGCCTTACTTGAAATAGTACTCAGGAATTGGAACCATTCGCATGATCTATCCTCTGGCCATCTTTGATAGACGAAACATTCGGCGCCAGTGACTACGGGATGCGCATAGTCGATGCGTATTGTACGTATGTCGCTTCCAAACCCTTTGAGTATCGGCTCTTCGATGTTGCGATAATTCGAACCCGGTCTTGTGCTATAGATGTTCGGCGGCGGCTTTGTGAGCACAATAGCATGCCGGCTGTAGCACGCATGTTGCGCGAACACTCCAGACGCTCCTTTCATGAATGTAGACCATGACTTCTTAGATTTTCGAGACCGGAGACTGGCTGACCCGTGGTCGCTATAGAATGAGCCCATTGCCGTTGTCAAAGTCTTCAGGTTCTTTTTGTCGGCCCAAGTCTTGGCTAGTGTTGGTGATATACCAGTCCAGAAGACCAGCGCAGCATCCTCTTTGAGTGTGGCCCTGAACAATGCGTCCAATTGATCAAACTCATCTTGATGGAAATAGCGCGAGAGATCCATAAGGCTTGCCCCAGTAGTATTAGGCAGCATGTGTAACGATCGAAAGGACAAGTACATATATCGGGTCCGTAGTTTCGAGCGGGGTACGAACACTGTGTGTATATTCTAACTCTCTAGCTATCATGGAGCTTTTCCTTGTTTTCAATGGTCTTGTCTAAGATCGTTTCACACTCCTCTAGCGAGTATCCATCGGTACGAGTGCGACTTTGCATAGTTAGCGTAGCCACCATTCAGGCGCGAGAGCTGTCACCCGAGAGCATGAGGAACTCTAAGCCCCCAAAGCTCATATAGAGCTCTATTGGACTAGTCCCAGTCATCCTCCAACGTATTCATCAAATCATCATTGAGGTTGTGCTCTTCCTCACCTGTGTCGCAGTATCCGCCGAGTTCGGATACATGGTGATAGGCAAGCAGCAGCAAGTATGCGTTGAGTCGGCATGGAGGACAATGATGCTTCTCCTACGTGCTCAAGGATGTCACGATGGACATCTGAAAGACAGAATGACGTTGGGCGAGTCGCCTGGAGCGGAAAATGTGGGAGAATGAAACCTCGTAGTGCATATCGGTGTTCTGATTGGGTAGTACAATCTGTTGCGCTGGTGCCAGACTCCTCGGTCTGAAACAGTCTGCGGGGCATCCCGACTTGTATTCGCTCAATCCTGGATAAGCACTTCATGCTGATATAGTGTACCGTAAAAAGAACGACATCTCTTTGAAGCTTGCGCCCATCGAACCTTAGCAGTGACTTGCCATCCCTGCAAGTCAACCATAATCACACCTTAGATGCTCGCAAAAGCTCGAAGTACAAAGCGGAGGCGATCCGATCTATGCTCACCAGTTTTGACACCGGAGTAAGAAATCCTCCAGTCAAAGTGCAGGCGCAATCGCTAGGTGACGGCATTGCAAGCAAGCTAAAAGTCCTATTTGAATAGCACTGTGGCCCAACACTCAAACCGAAATCAAAAAGAAATGCTGTGCCTAAATCCAGAAGCTTCAAGGCCCTCATGCCGGAAAGCCTGACCGGGAAATCGGCCGGAGTTGTCGCAATGGTAGGAGATCTATGCGAGCGCGGATTTCTCTACGCCCGGCTTCTCGGTATACCGGGAGGCACTCTAAGTGGTAATATGTGGAAAAGCTGAGAAGACGGCATCCGCAAGTTCAATGTCTTGGCGTTTTCTCGCACTAAAGGCTTGGCAATCACATGAAAGTTCTGCGAATTCTGAGCGTACCAGCTCCAATTCGAATGACAATAGAGCATGAAGACATGTAAACAACGCTAGCACTTTTTTGATCTCTGGAATCTATGTGTGTATCCGTAGATGTAGTTCGTTGTCGCCCGTCATTTGTGGATCTCTTCCCCTCGGCTTTGCTGCAGGCCCTTGTCTTGTCCTGTCTCATGCTTTTCAATACATCCCCCTCCCTCTGTAGCCTTTCTCTCTTTCAGCATATCTAGCAACTCCTTAGCAAATGCCTCAGCGTGCGTAGCATAACCAATATGTCCACCGGGAAAAATAAGCAACTCCAACCCCAACGCCCTCGTCAAACTCTCATTCGCCCGAAAATAAAACGCCTCCTTATTGGTAACCTCCGAATTAACAGGCACCAATTCCGTGATATAAGGCTCGAAATCCGCCGGCTTAAACTCCGTAAAGGGATAGAGGAACTCCCTCTCGAACCAGTACATCATATCGCTGAAGACATGCAGCCCGGCTCGAGATTTTGCGAACTCGGCTTTTTCGCCTTCGCTTAGCATGGCGAAGTCGGCGAAGGCTTGCATTGCGGGTGGGATGCCCCAGCGGCGGTAGGTGTTGTATATGTCCTGGAATTTGGGCTTCAGTTCGGCGAAGTCTGGATTGAGAGTAACGGCTGGTGGTTCGTGTGGTATGAGGGTTTCGATGAGGTCGGGATGTCGCAGGAGGAGGTTGAAGGAGACGATTGCTCCTGATGATGTTCCGAGGACTGTGGCTGGTGTGTTTGGGGAGAGGTGTTTGATGAGAGCGGCTGCGTCGTCGGCGTCTCGGTCTAGTCTATGTTCGTAGTCTTGTGCACCCTGAAGAGTGCTGCGAGAGAAGCCTCGTCGATCGTAGGAAATGACCGTGAAGTGGTCTTTGAGATGGTGGCTCAAGGGCTGCCATACTTCATAGCTGCCGTTGGCGCCTGATATGGTGAGAAGGAGTGGGCCTTGTCCAACGACTTGGTAGTGAAGCGTAGCACCGGGGACTTCCAACTCAGGCATGTTGCCTATCTCGTTGGAATGTGATCGCAGAAGAGAAACTTCTATTTCGTTTACTGGAGAGCTATATCGGAAAACATCTGAGCAGTTGTGTTGACTGATCTCAGTCGGGATCGGGGCAATGCTCGTGCATTTGTGAGCGTGAGTTGTAAGCCTTGCGGTACCAAGACCCCAAAGATGCGGAGAAGTTTAAAAACAAGTAAGGCCGTAGATGTTCTCGATGCGTTCATGTCGGCTGTTCCCAAACAAGGCTATGTACTTGTCGGGCTGTCGGATCCGAGGGCACCGACCCGCAATACATCCCTTAGAATACCAGCTGCCGAACTGTCGTATTGATCCCCAACTCAAGTCTAGGCTGCCGATCCACGAAACGCCATCTACTGCAAATGTGCGATTGCCGGATTCGACAGTGCCGACCAACGATCTCTTTCCTCTGTGTCCCACGGTCCCACAAGCCCCCATGGAGATCTCAAGTCCAAGTTGCATGTCCAGCCAGCTTGGAAGAGCAGGGAGGAGTGGTATGTCGGGGTTGACGTTTTACCACCACTACAGATTGTCCTTGTCCATGTAACTCATTGTTCTCAGTCAGTATACGCCTCCGTTACAGCAATTCCAACATGGGCATCGGCGTCCTTGAACCGAAATCAGATGCTGTTGTGCCAGGAACCGTCCTTCTACAAGATCATGGGGACGACACGACAGTCGACAATGATGCACGAGGCAACAACGAAGAGGTCATCCTGGAGCCACAGCCCTCGAACGATCCAAACGACCCCTTGAACTGGCCCTTGGGCAAGAAGGTTGCTATGGTCATGATCGTCTATCTGGGTGCAGTGGTTCACTCGGGCACGACGGTACGTGTGTGTATCTGATGGAATCTGAGACTTGATTCTTACTCCAGCCTCGCAGGCACCACTGCTCATAAGTGGAAACGTACAAATCTCGAAGGACCTTCACATTCCTCTGTCAAAGATGGTACAACTGTCACTGGGATATTTCATTTTGGCTGCTGGAGCTATCTGTCCTTTTATTGCTGCATTCGCGCGGAAGTACGGCAAGAGACCAGTATATGTGTTGTCCTCGATTGTGGCCACCGTCGGCTGCATTGTCGGCGCCACAGCATCTGGATACAATTCACTTCTCGCAGCTCGAATTCTACAAGGAATAGGGCAAGCGGCATGCGAGACGCTTACTTTCAACACCATCGGAGATGTTCTTTTCGTTCATCAGCGAGGACTACCTGTGGCACTTGGTGTTCTCTGCATCAACGTTACCATCAACATTGTCGGCATTATCTCTGGTGCAATCACGACCCGACTTGGCTGGCGGTACTGCTTCTGGATCTTGCTGCCTTTCGCAATCATACAGATGCTCTTGGCTTTCTTCTTCGTGGCGGAGACTTCTTACAGACGGAATAGCGTCGATAGGCTCAACGCAGGGCACAGATCGAAACTTCATTCAACGAACGATGCTAGCAGCGTTGACGCAAACTACGAGTTCGAAGAGCAAATCTCAAGAGATGATACCTTGAAAGACAACGCTTCGAAGCTTGAGAATGTCGTCTCTCACCAGGCCTCTGAGAACCAGCCCACTAGAAAGAGTTGGATCCAAGAGCTACGCCTCTACAACGGGCCATTCGCGGATGATCCAATGTGGAAAATTTTCCTCGCCTTCCCAGCCGTTCTACTAAACCTGGGAGTGTCTTTCGCAGTGTTCTCTTGCGGGTTGTGTCTGACATGGTTTGGAGGGACGGTCACTATCGCTTCAATACTCTTCCCAGCACCTCCATACAACTACACTACCATCCAGGTCGGCTACGCCTCGGTCGCACCAGCAATAGGATCACTACTGGCCAGCATATTCATGGGCCTAACTCTAGACCATCTTGTCAGCAAACTCACACGTCACAATAGAGGCGTGTATGAGCCCGAGTTCCAGCTACCTCTGACTTTCGCCGGCGGTGCGTGTGTCATTGCAGGAATGGTATCGACCGGATACACATTCGGAAAAGGATCCTCTGTCTATATCGTCTCCGTCTGCTGGGCGATCGCCTCCTTTGGCTTCGCCTGTTGCAACGTCACCTACTTCAACTATGCCCTCTCTGCCTACTCGGACTACACCGTGGAAATCATCGTTATGTCGGTGATGTTTCGAAACTTCTTGGGTTATGTGTGAGTGAAGCTTCAACGTCTGCCTCGCTTGATGAAGACTAACGGAAAAATAGGTTGTCCCTTTTCGTGGTGCCGTGGCTTGAGAGAAACGGCCCGCTGGTGGTGTACAGCAGTCTTGCAGGCACTATAGCTGCGACTTTGTTACTCGTGGGAGCGTTTTATGTTCTTGGGAAACGGTATCGTCTGTTCTGGCATAGACATAATCTGCTTCAAAGACTGCAACTGGAGGCGAAGAAGCCGAGGGCATCGGAATGATAGGGGGTGAACTGCGATGTTATCAAGCAGCCACGCTTTAGAGTTGACTGTACTAGTCCCTTGAGAGCTCTCTCATGGCGACTTGTGGATAGTCTCGACATTGCAGAGAAAGTTGGCTGGCCGTTTTCATGCACTAGTGGCTTGGCAATCACATGAAAGTCTTGCGAGCTTTGAGAAGATCGAGAAAACCGGAATAGATGGTGATGAAACGTATCTAAGTCTTGTTTGACTTCAAGATTCTACTTGCTATGGTACGGTCCATGAACAATGTTTCCAAGGCCAACCGAGGATAAGGAGATGAAAGCCCTTCGTGACGAGCAGTCGAGCAAGCTTTCGAAAGCAATGCTTTAGGGAGGCTGCGATTGAGACCTAGTTCTCATGTTATGTACAACTGTCCCTTCCAACCTCCCTTTGACTTGCACACTTTAGCTTGCACCTTGAGGAAAGGCTGCAGCACAGCCGCCTGCCAAGGCCGTTGTATTGAACCTGGTTGGATACCGCTCCGTCATCAACTTGAAAAGCTCCGTTGAATCTTTTGACTTGTTCAGAAGCTCTCCAAAAGTACGGATATACTCCTTTGATGCCTGCAGATGATACGCGCCATCGACCTCGCCGGGTTTCTTGTGGCCAGGAATGACTGTCTCCGGCCGTAGGGCTTCGACTTTCTCAATCGCACTGATCCACTCCTCCCGATTGGCTTTGGTGTTCGAGTATCGCAGTTGCTGATGTACATCACCGTAGACGACGTCGCCACATACTGCAAGCTTGATGCTGGGGACCCACAAGACAGTGGAGTCGTGGGTGTCGGATCGACCAACTTCGACAGCTTTGAGAACATTATCTTCAAGCGTGAACTCCCCGTTCGACGGGAGAGGCTCGGCGAGCACAAAGTTGGTGTCAATCTGGCCGGGGAACCTTGTGCCGTAAGTGGAGTTCCATAGCGTTGGCTCGATCTGCTCCTGCATATGCTTTATAGTCCCACTCGTAGCGATGGCTTTGAGGCCTGGAAATCGCTTCTTGAGATAACCGATGCCAAGCCAATGATCTCCGTGTCCATGTGTAATGTAGACATACGCTAGTCGCTTCGTTGGTATGGTTTGTTCGATCCAGTCACCAAGCGCAACGTTCTGTGCTTCCGTGATTGCTGTGTCGACAAGCACAGCTTCGTGCTCTCCATATATGAGGGTAGAAGGTATTGGAGACCATTCGCCGGCTCGTGTGCCGTCTGGCTTGACGTATGGTACAGGAGGATTGACGTAGACGCTTGCCCGTAGTTGAGAAGACATGTTGTTTAAGCTTTCGTCGATGCAACCGTGATGGCTCTGATACATCTAGCTGTTAATATATAAGTCCTTCCACTAAGCACGCCATACGTCGAAATAAAAAAATGTCGTCGCCTCTTTCGGTGTGTCATCACACCAGCATGATTATAATGTTTGCTCAATGGAAAAGCGTCAAGCAGGCTCCGGCTTCTCGGAGATTGACACATTACACTATCTCAGGCTGCTGGATGACTCTACGTTGTTAACGCAGCTCAGTCATGCCAATTTGTTTGGAAGTTTCTGCGAGCGAACCTCTATCGAGCAGAACATTATGTGTCGAGAGTTGTCCGACTGTTACTGCTATACGATAGATAGGTCAAAGATGGTGGAGAGAGCCGACTCAAGGCGTGCCGGCTCCTCGTTCTGCAAAATCATTGACCCGCTACGCCCTGTTACCACCCCATTGGGCGGACCATTGCTCAGAATACGAGCTATGATTACAATCTCTTTGCGCTGCTTACCCGCTTTGGCAAGACACGCCACGTCTTTACCGAACTCGAACCTCGGCATACGTTATCTGCTCGAGAGGAGGTCTATACATATAGCGATAACACGCACGCTTGGCTATTTAGAACTGCATTGGCTCCTTTCGTCAGCCTTCTCAACGCTAAACGCCACCATCATGCCTTTCTACGAAGTTTCTCACGCGTACCCACTCACCTCCGCCCAAGAGGATGAGCTGGCACAAGCGATCACGAAGATACATCTCTCCAAATTCCCTTTGGTCCCAACATTCTTCGTGAACGTTGCATTCAAAGACGTCTCGCGGCGGTCAAGCTTTGTCGGGGGTAAACGACATCGCGCAAACCATCTCACGGGGCGTGTGCGCTTGGGTGACCGCACACCTGCTGATTTCGAAGACATGCGGGACCAGCTCGAGGAGGCTTGGAACAAAATTGTCTTGAAGCCGGCACAGGACAAGCTGGGTGCAAAGGAAGGTGCAAAGTATGAGCTGCAGACGCTGGTCCTTTCTCCCGGAAACCCAATTGGGAAGGAGGGTGGTTTCGAAATCCCGATAGCTGGCCAGGAGAAGGCATGGTTGGAGAAGCATTGGACCGAGTTCAAGAAGCGGGCAGATGCTGGTGACGAGCAGTTTGTCGATATGGTCAAGCATGTTGAGGCGCAGGGGAAGTTGTAAGACTTGACCTTGGTACGGGGCCAAAGCTCAGTGGCTTGTATCCATCAAGACTGAATGCTGCTTCCTCCGTAGTATTCTTCCCTTCGAAAATGCATCCCTATGACTTTCAAAGTGCATCAAGCGATGACATTGCCAAGGCTCGATCGACGTCGTGTCGCTTGAAACCAGGGCACCACCCCAGGCAGACGCGGGATGCCGTCAAGACTACAACCAAGATGAAGTCAGTCGCCAAGAGACCAACGGAGAACATTAAATGTGCAACACTCACGGCTTACAAATCGAGTTACGTCGATTGTGGTAGTCTTCTTCTCCTGAGCTGCCGGTAAGCTCACATGTGATGATCCCAGCGCTTCGCTCACTTCACTAATGTTCCCGGTAGACTGGAAGAAGTCCAGCCACGAGTCTGCTGACACATCTGATAGACTGTTCTCCGAGGACTCTGTCAAACCCCTCAAGGGGATGGATGCGGCTGATCGAGAAGCAGGTACTTCTATTTCCACAAACGACGAATTCGGATCGATGAATATGCCCTTCTCGTTGAGATAACCTTCAACATCATATGCGTCCAGCCACTCTCCCTCGTATCCCACAAGGTCGACCGTCATATCTGTCGTTAGGTTTTCGTGGGCAGCGTGTTCCAGAAGCGCCAACATTTGAGGACCAATGACACCCACATTATACGCTTTTCTCTTAGGTCGGAGGTTCCCGAATGCATCTCGCCTGGGGTAATGTGTTCCGGCACCACCAATATGAATGACGGGAATGCTAGTGTGCAAACACTCATGTGATCCTCTGCTTAGCGAAGTCTTCAAGGCCGACGTCAAATTCGACTTGTCTCGCCGCAATAATGAAAGCTCAAACACCTGCTGGTATACGCCCGGTCTCTGGTTCGGATCCAGAATTAACTGATAGCTTTGTTCAAGACATGACCTGTGCAGTCTCCGGCCGAAAGTAGATTCTTGGAAGCTGTACGTCACGGGTGGGCTGAGTTCGAGCGGCATGGAACAAGTAGCCTCCAACGAAGTTCGGTACAGTGATGCTGATGAGACAACAGCCTGGCTATCTTGGCTTGAATCGGTCCAATTCGCAGCCATGTCGTCTTCAGCTCCGTTCGCAAAACTCGTGTCAAGCATCGCAATGTCCAGCGGGATGAAGTTGGGATTCTCAGACGCTTTCGCATCACCGTTAGCAGCAGGCGTAGAGAGGGGTCGCTCGACACTCTCAGCCGTCTCCAGGTCACTTTGGTCGCTAGGCTCTCGTACACGCTTCATGAAGGCCCTGAACTGAGCTGAAGTTTCTCGTATGTCCTGCATGGACTTCGCGGAAAGGCCGGAGGCGGTCAGCCGGTCGAAACAATCCATGAAGGCTTTGTTCATGAGTTCCATCATGTCCGAAAGCTCAGAAACTCGCCTGCGTAGCTCGTCGAGGGTGCCTTCTCTGCGTTGCCGATAGGCCCTTTGAGCCTCGCGGATCTGCGTACGGCGGCGCTGCTGGAGCGTCAATACCACGTATCGAAGTACAAGTAAGTTCGTCAACTAAGGTGAGCTCGTACATCTGCAGCGGACCCATCTTGTATCTCAAACCTGGGCCTCCCACGCTTCTTCTTGGGCTTGGCAGGGGGTTCATGCGAAGCGTTCTCCATTTGAACATAGTCCTCGCTCTGGGACCTGTCATGTGGGTTTTCTTCTGTGCTAAAAGCAGCCGATGAAGTCGCCATCGTGCTATCTGGACTGAAGCGTGGAGGAGATGCGGTCGCTCTTCGAGGTGTACCAGACGAATATATCACTCAACGAAGAGGTCGATGGGGTACAAAAAAGATCATCTACACATGTCTGTCAGAGGACTTCAATCCAGCCACCGGGTTCATTCCGTGACATGTGAATGCACAACTTTCTGTGCAGGGTGTGTCGCCATGGGAGCTGACGCACAGCAGCCAATGTTGAATAATCGGAAATTCGCCGGATGGATTCACCGGATGGATCTCCCGAGGGAACTTCTCGCCGAGGCGTGCCGTAGGGTTAGGGTTACGTGACAACAACGAGTCGACTGTTGCTCTCAACGACACCATCATTATCGATGTCGTAAAGGTAATCATCATCTCAAGTTTCGCTAAAATTGCAAAGACGAGGCTGTGTTTCCTTCAGACAGCCGACTGCGGATGCGATCTGAATCCTTTTGACGCCAGGCATGGCCGGCATACGATCAGGAGATGTTCACAACGGTCGGATAACTCCAACTGCGAGAAGTTGAATCAAACAACATCGCTTGACAAGGCGATGATTATACCCCGAGACTGGTTTCACGACATCTATCAAGACATCTTTCCCTATGAGTGCCTCACGTTCGGTCACTTCATTGAATGTGACGAGTTCCTGGCTCTTCCGATGGTCTGGCAGCACCTCCACATTCTTGAATCTTCATAATCGTCAGCATGGCTTTCGCAACCCTGGCTCGGCACGTCGAATGTTAGGCTGGTACAAATCGATGATCTGAGACTGTTGATTAGGACCTGCCTTTGAACGATGAAGGATAGCCTTGAGCCTCTGGGGTTTCCCTGGTTCGCAATTCTCAGTTCTCAGTGCCGTGCAACCCTGCTATGTCGTTGAACTATGTCGGCCAACCCAGAAGTCAATGCCGAGGGATATTGTACATCAACTTTGACAACCCCTTGCGCAATGCCACCACGCCAGGCACCCGCAGAAATGGGTTCAAATCGTCGGCCGAAACAGGAGCCTTCAAATGAGGATAAAAGCAGAATCCCCATATGGGCATGCGCTTGCAGGGCAATCTGGGGGTGCAAGATGTCAAGTCGTTGAAGCGCGCTTGCGAGAAACCTGGAATGTTCAAATGCATCATAGCCCAAAAAACACGAAACAAGGATGCTCAGTGTCCCTCCGCCATCGGGCGCATCTGTCCATGCCACTGCTGTTGATGCCTTGTGCGACCCTCTTCCCTCTTCATTCGTCTTCAAATTGGGCCGTGTCCTTGCTCAGTGTCCTCACTCGATATCTTCCAACGGCGACTCTGCGCAAAATGGGGAAGGACTTGTCGCCGCGGGCTGCAGTGCCAACGAAATCTCTGAGACGTCACCTTCTTTTTTACCACGAGATCCGTACGTTTGCCTGGTCGCTGGACTTGTCCGAGGTTGATGGTGTACAGCGTCATGGCAGAGGTAGTGCGTGCGACAACCTGAAGGCAGTCAGATGCTGACGTTGCAGGGACAATGAATATCTATTGTCCGGATACAGGTACGTGCGAAGGCCAGACGTCGCGAACCCGTGGCTGACCCATTAGACCGACCTCTGGTTCGTGGCTGCTTTCGTTCAAGAGCGTCTTTGCGTGGCACAATGAGTCCGGTACGTCTCCCTCTACCAGAAAACTCCTCTCAAGATATGCTGAATCTTGAAAAGTCAATATCCACTCTCACGCCATTGGATCCGCCCTCTTCGCCTACTTGCCGTGGCATTTCTACACAAACACATATCGAACTGTTGACGACACCGAACCTGTCGATGCACTCCTTGTGAGCATGTACCTCCTCGGCGTTGCCGTCTGCTTTGCATGCTCCGCCTGGTATGCCTGCCGCGAATATTGCATTGCCCCGCTGATCCCTGCCCAGTTGCCACATCATCTGGAACCTCTCGGCCCCAGCAGCATCCTTTGGAAATCGCCTTGACTTCTGCGGCATTCTGCTACTCATGTGGGGCGCAAGTCTGCCCTCCATCCATCTGGCCTTCGACTGTGACCCGGTACTGAAATATTGGCACTGGGGTTTGGTGACTCGTGCCCATTTCACAAACAACGTAGCCTCCCTGTGCTGACAATCTCTAGGTATCGATCAGTGCTTGCGGCTGCATCACTTTCACACTCCATCCGAGATTCCTTGGACCGTCTTTTCGGAAGTATCGAGCGTTGCTGTACACATGCTTCGGATTGTCGGCCATCACATTCGTCAGTCATGGCATCCTCAAGTACGGCTTCGATATACAACGAAAGCGTTTAGCTATCGAATGGATGGCTTTGATGGGTCTCCTGAACATCGTTGGAGCCATAGTCTATGCATCAAGGGTGAGCATGCAGGTCTTGCGTTCTGCCCTGTCGACGTACTAATGACGAAAAGCTGCCGGAACGTTGGTTCCCATACCGCTTCGACTTCGTTGGCGCGAGCCATCAGATCTTCCATGTTCTTGTCCTCGCCGCAGGTCTCGCGCACTACAAAGCTTTGGCTTGTGGGCTAGGTGAAGTGAGACGCAATGGTAGTCTTTGCTGAGTATAGCAACAAATGAATAGGACTATATCCTATCAACGCTGAAGAGCACACCAGATCTCGACGCAGCATGCCATGGAATCGCCTTTTCCCCAAACTTTCAAAAGCTTACCGAGACTTCTTCGCCCTCTCGAGCAATCTCAGCCTTACCGAAGTTCCTCGCGTTGATGCCTTTGGTGGTGAACAAAATATCCAGCTCTTCGAAGGTCCGATTGGCCGTCTCTGGAAGCCGCATGAAAGCCCACAGTAGACAGAGAGCGTTGAGGCCACCAGTCAAGAATCCGGTCTTGCCCTTCCAGTTCGCTGCGGTTGGGTTCAACAGATACGGTGACACCACTGAATTGACGATATTCAGGACGATGTATGTGCCTCTGGCAAGAACAAACGTCTTGGATCGCAATCGAGTGGAAGAAACCTCACTGTTGATGACGTACGGCAATGGTCCCAGAGTCAGGCACCACACAGCATACCAGATCAAGAAGACGGCCGAGGTGGCGTACCCAAGCGATTTGCTTCCTCCAACGGCAGCGAGAATGCCAATTATAATCTGGAGAATGGCCATGAAGAAACACCCAATCATGTAGGGCCTGCGACGTCCATAGTTGCCACTGATAGCTGCTGACAACCCGTTGCACAGCAGATGAATGCCACCCATGCCTAGAGTCATCTTGAAGGCGCTGCTCGAGGCAAGTCCCGCCTGCTCGAAGAAATAGGTGGAGAAGCCGGAGATGACGAATCCAGTCAAGATCTGGCTGCCCCAGGAGATACAGGCAACTTCAGTTCGCCATATGTCGGATCTTCGGAAGCAATCCCAGTACGAAGTACCCTCGTTGGCTTCTCTTTCGAGCCTATCCGTGGTGATCATCAAGGCTAGTTGTTTCTCGGGAGCATCGGCTAGCTCGTTGGTGTGGTTGTTCATGAGCCTCTCGATAGATTTTCTGGCGTCTTGTAGGCGGTTCTGCCTCACATACCACCATGGCGATTCGGGGCAGAACACAACGATGGGAAGGATGAGGACCGGCCAGACCCATTGAATGGCGAACGGGATTCGAAATGCCCAATGGTCATCTCTATGCTGGAGCGAGAAGAGGACTGCATATGATACGCTAAACAAGCGAGGGCCGGTTGTCAGCAAAGGCATCGAGCATGTTTGTTGCTGTCGTCCAGACTTTGGTGTACTCACAATTGACCGATACCCCAGCAGCAAACGACCCAGGTCTCGAAGTAACTTCGTAGGGCAAGGGGGGCTACCTCGGAGGCATAGCCTGGTGCGAGGGTTGAGAAAATGCCCCATGGAATACCGCAAAGGAGCTGGCCGACGAAGAGGACTTGTACGGATGTTGCAAAGAACTGGATGAACACGAGCCCCATCAGTGCCACCATGCTCCAGATGAGAACCGGCTTGTGGCCAAAATGGTCGGTACCAATACCGTTCACAGTAACGCCGATGAGATTGCCAATTGGACTTGCAAAGCCCAGAGCTGACTGCCACTTGGGATCAAGCTGGTATTTACCATGTCCAATGCTGTGGCCATAGTACTTCTGAAAGGCCGGGAAACCGAAGAGACTGCCCATAAGAGCCGAGTCGTAGCCGTCCATGATGATGCATAGGCTGACGACTCCGGCCCAGGCAACGGCCTTGCGATGCTTGCTTATGGCCCCAAGCAGGGTCGCACTGTGTTCCTCCGCTGTGGCCTCGTTTGCTTCCTCGCGGAGAGTAACATCGCCCTTTGCAAGCTCTGCAGTGGCATTGTTCTTGTCGTGGAAAGCGAACTCTCGCTCGTCGGTGTCAGGGGCTTTGTGCTCCATTGAGCCCCGACAAAATGCAGTGGACTTCGTATGAATGAGGCAAAAGAGTGGTCGTGTGCGTTGACTTACTTGGCCATACCGATTGCTGAAATGTATATAGTTGCAACGACAAGGCGTGGGTGATACGAGGCGGATCGAACCTACTCAATACGGGTCGGGAGGGCAAAAGAGGGGACACTCTTTCGGGCTGAGGCGTTTCTCTCCACTTCACAATGTGGCGCTTGCTGGTCCACAATCCCTGCTCCCCACGGGGTATCATGCACACGTGGTCAAGAAATAAGTTTTCCCAAACGACCTGCTAGATCAGCAAGAACAGGACAGTAGGGAGAAGATGCGAGTTCAGCATTCGCCCACGGGGTAGCGCAGCCTCGAGCGTCCACCTGGCACGTCCCCGCAGTCACTGCAGCAGTTCATCCACATTGGGGGAATTCCTCGAGGGATCTGGACCGCCCCACAATCGGCATATGGTAATCACACGTCTGCTCCGCCCTCAATTCAACACTCTTCTCGCAGCAACCGGCATGCTCGGGCGTGGGTAAAGATGGAGTTCGTATGGTCAGCTTCGACACAAGGCTCCAAACGGCGTACCCTGCAAGATAAGACCTCTTTCAGTAGTGCGTGAGGCTCAAAGCTGACATATTCAGGATCACCCTGCGAGACTTGTCGCACGCGCAAGAAAAGATGCTTTCACACTGAGGCAGATGCCGACGTGCTTGCTCCCAGCACCGCTACTGCAGTGGCGAGCTCGCACGCGAAAGTGGGTGAGCAATCTACACGAGAGTCGAGCCCAGGCGTGGACGGGATTGGAGCCTACGCCCCCGAATCGATACTTGAGGATATCTCGTCGGTAACTGGGCCCCTATCATCGGGTGCCCATGACTTACCCACTCCGTCGGCTCATCGCCCCTTCAGCCTGACTGCAGCGGAGCAAAGCGCTCTAGAAGCTAGGATCGAAGGCCGCCGGCGCACTTGGTGCTTAACGCGGCGGACACATGGCTCACCGAAGCTGTCTGAAGCACATCAACGCTACCTGCAGGATCAAGGGGCTTACCTCACTCTGCCCGCTTCCACGGTGTCTATCCTCTTGCCACTTTACCTCTGCATGCTGGACGACCTGGTTCCTATCGTCGAATGCTCCACCGTAATTCGTGACTTCAGCAACGATGACTATTCCGTTTATCTGGTACGGGCGATATGTCTTGTTGTATGTAAACTCCCCCAGGCCGCTCCGCACTTGCGACTCTTCCAAGGTGGCCCGGTTCTGAGCTATGGAGAGTTCGCAGTCAAGCTTCTTGACGGTCTGGAAGCAGCAATGGGCGCAGAACTTGAAGTGGACCGCTTCACAAAAACACAGATTCTAGCGCTTATGCACCTTCACAACGACGGACGTAATGGGCGCGAAAGAGCATCTAAAAACCTATCAAGTGCTATCAACGAAGCCTGGGCTATGGCATTGCATCAGAGGACGCCAGGAGTATCGCGTAGCACCACAGACGACATGCTCTGGTGGTCTCTTCGCAATCTAGATCGACTAAGTAAACCAGTGATGGGCGTTGCTCCGTACTTCATTGATGATGCCGACATTGGCATCGAACGCATCGTCGGAATACACGACAGCTACCGGATATCTCTAATGAGTCTGTCAACGATGCTTGGAGATCTTATAACCACCGCAACAAGAATTCACAAGGCCAGCGCAAGGGGTACCGTCGATACATATCTGGAATTTCCATCTTTAGCTGAGATAACAGCCGGTACAGACTTTGCACAGTTCTATAAACCACATCGGGGTAAGCAGCATCAGGACTCGGTTGTGAAATCCGCTGACAAGAATGGGGGTTCGCAGCTTACTTTGAGATTTGGCATTGCCTTGCGGCGATGCTCTCGTGTAGACACGGCCGTCCTGGTAGCGGTACATATAGCAGACGTCTTGAGTCTGCAGAGCGGGTTGTCGCTTTGCTTCACGGCAAAGGCCATGAAGACGTGCCGCCGCTACCGCTTGTGCCGTACACCCTGAGTATGGGCACCTCTGTGATCTATCGTGCTCTTGTTGACGGGCAGAGGACACCGTGGGAAGCACAGAATGAGTTGACAAAGTGTTGCGACTCGCTCGAAGTGTTCAGTCAGCGGTGGACAAGTGCCAAAGGCATCACTCGCTTGGCCAAGCGCCTTTTGAAGCATATTACGTTGCCTCTTCGATCCGACGCCGAGCTTGATGCTGCTGATCAAGCGGAATTTGGAAAGTTGAATCGCGAAGCTTCGTTGACGGGAGATGTGAACGCATGCAGCGTTTCGTTGCCTGGGCATTCTGAAAACATTGCGTTGGCCGGCTCCTTGCTGATATCAAACGATGACTTCAATGATGTGCTGTTGGACGCAGAGGTGGATCGCCATTTTGGCAGTCAGGCCTTTGAGAACTTTCAAGATTTGGGAACCGCAAACTTCCTGGATTATCTAGCCATGAGCTACACTGAAGACGAAGTGTTTTAAATACGAGACAGACATACGAACTTATTTGGTGTAAGGCGTGTCCGATCCAAATGCCGACCCAGAAGGGCTGGGTTCCGAAATAATCCAGCGGCAAAGACATATTCTGCCTAGAGGCGGCGGTGTACGCGGAGTACAATTGAGCCTAGTTGGGTACTTCCATTTTTGCGTGCGAATCACACCGGCTTTGGAGGATTCTGCGAGCTGGACAGTTCGCATATAGCCGTAAGAGGCAGGGTGGGACAGGTGACCGCCCGCGTGAACGAAGGCGTCCTTTGTCATCATTTCACTGTCGCCATAAAAGCTGGGTTCATGCTGCTCGTTGAGCGTCTTGATCACCGGAATATTTCTGCCCTTCGTCATCATGCTCGTTCTGGCTGTGCTCATCGTTGGGCTCCTTCCCTTGACCGCAAGAGCATTTCCACCCGCTCATGGCAATGCTCCAGGGGGCCAAGGCCCATGGTCTCACGGCTCGAAGTGGAACGTCCCAAACTTCAAGTCAATGGTTGTCTTTGGAGACAGTTACACGGACAGTTCTCGCTACTTATATTTCACTTCACATGACGGAAATGCCCCTCCTGTTGGATACAGCAATCCTACCGTAAGCTGGAATTGAAAGAAGTTGGTTCACAATTCTGAATCGGTTTACAGAACTACGATGCTTCAGATAACGGAAGAATTTGGGCGAGCTACGTTGGCCAGTACTCTGGCGCCAACATTTACAACTACGCCGTGAGGGGAGCAGTCTGCAGCAACAATTTGACGCCACGCACCGCTGTATCCGGCAATTTGTCGTTCCCGTATCCATCAGTTGAGCAATATGAAGTCCCTGCGTTTCTAGCCGATTCGACGTACACTGTTGGAGGCAAGGAGTTTCTAGACATCCCAACGGAAGACACCGTATACACAATCTGGATAGGAACAGTGAGGCTTCGTTCTCGCAATCCTTCTGCGTCTTTACTGATCAGACTCTCCACAGAACGATGTTGGAACTGGGGCATACCTCAGCGACTCTCAAAAGACTGGCGACCTGACCTCCTACGTTGACTGTGTTTACAATCAGTTCTCACGAATATACCAGCGAGGAGCTCGAAAATTTATTCTGATGAATCTGGCGCCTCTGCACCTTGCTCCACTCTACGCCCTCCCATCAGTTGGGAACAACGGAACGTATCAGAACGCGACCGAGACCAGCTACCGCATGCTCGAGACTGTCAAGACGGTGAACGCTATTTTTGCTTACCGCACGCCATTTCAAGCAATGATCTCAAATGACTTTCCCGGAAGCCAATGGGCGGTGTACAACGTCCATGATCTGGTATGTTCTACATGCAGTGTATAATGCAGTCCACTAGCTGACAAGGCTGTCCTTTCAGTTGACTGATATATACAACCATCCTTCGCTTTATCTGAACGGCACCGCACCGCTTAACGTTACAGGTTTTATTGCACAGTGCACTTCGAGCAATCCTTGCGCTGGTCAGACAAGTCCAGATAGCTACATGTGGTACAATAATCTGCATCCGAGCGAGCAGACCGATAGAGTGATTGCCAAGAATTTTGTGGAAGTTGTCAAAGGGACTAGCAAGTGGGCGACGTACTGGGCCTAAGCCAGTTTGGAACAGCCTTTTTGTTGCAGAGAAGGCTCCGACCAGGAGTGGTTGAATGGAGTAGCTACGTGGTGACTTAGGGGCTAGCCTTTACGGCTGTATCGAGCAAAGTGCAGAACATTAGCAACTACAGCTTACAACCCTGACCTGGTCGCTTCTTTGAATTTCCCTCCACAAGGACAATTGCTCTCAACATCTCTACTTAGGGACTGCTGGTCAATAAAGTGTAAGCAACCGAGCTTTTGTACCATCACCTCGGATGCCCACACTTGGCACTTTCTGACCCGATATTGTTACCAGGAGAGCCGCACCCGCCTTCATCCTTCTACGATCACATCTCAACGAGCCGCCCCGCGAAGAGAAAGTATCAGGCTGTAACTCACTTCCCCGTGGGGAAGATGTGGAGTTGGTGATGGGCAGCGGGCTTTGGAGGTCCTTTACAGCCGTGCCTTGACTCTACAGCAGCAACGGCTCCACCACACAAACGCCGAGGAACACGCAGTCAGCTGGACAATGGCAACAAGTAGCGACCATTGCAGAATGTTCGAAGCTTCATTTGGGACGGACTGCGTTCTACTGCAATGCAAGTGGTCACGCTGGAACGAAACCCTAAAGACGTTCGTAATAGCTGAACGCTAGAATACGAAAGACTATTAAAAGGCTCGCAACCCTTACCATGCAATGAACACGAATTGTCACCGAGACAACACACTATATTATCACAGACATTCCACTTGAATTTGAGGATAGCAACAAACTCAAACATGATCGGGTTGAACTCGTTAGTCTTTTTGGCCCTCGTGCCGAGCATCTCTCTGGCTCAAACTACAATCAGCATCCCGTCTTCAGGAGCAAACGCGGTTCAAGTCAGCTCCTCCTTCGTGAACACTGGTTTCGAGCTTTCAAGCCTTCAATTTTTTGTGCAAAGTAAGTCTTCACATTCGGGTCCTTTTGCAGGCTAACCGTCAATTGCAGCAAGCCCATCCGATAATTCCTCCAATCAGTACTCAATCAATCTCTTGAATGCCCTTTTCGGTAAATCAGGGGGACGGCCCGTCTTACGAGTCGGTGGTGTTACTGGGTGAGCCAGCCTTTGCCAGGTGCAGGAAGATGATCGTAGCTGAATTTTGGCTCAGGGATGGCTACGTCTTCGATATGAACTTGACACAGCCTATCTATCCAAACCCTGCCGCTCCAAGTGGGCAGAAGGGAGCCACAAGAATTGGACCTAGCTTTTGGTCCCTGACAAAGAACCTTGCTGCTGCCAACCCGCTATGGCAGCCGCAGGTATCTTACACCAATACCACTGATACGCTGACAGTCCAAGACGGCGTATCAATCGTCAAGTCCATCGGTACCAGCAACATCATTGCGATCGAAATCGGCAACGAGCCGAATGAATATAAAGGCCACACAGATCCCTCGGCGATGAACGCTACATTGTAAGAACCACAAAGCATCGTCCAACATCTGGTTCAAGTGCTGATTCAACCTGCGTTCAAAAGCTACTCAAACCGCTTCCAGGGACTCGCAGCCAATATCTCGCAAGCTGCTGGAATCAACCCGACGACTCCATTCTTTGCAGGACCTGATCTTGCGTCTTATGATCTACAAAAGACTGATTGGTCCATCGAGGATCTCTTCCAGAACACCAGCTTTGACAAAACTGGCAACATCAAATTAGCGACAGACCACTGGTATTTGAGTGAAGGAGATACCTCTATCCCGGACGTGATGAACCACGCGAAAATGATCAGTACTTCGGCACCTATAGCCACGGCCGCAAAGTTCTTCCAGCAATACGGCAAAGTCGACTATGTTCTGGATGAGTTCAACGTCTTGAACGGAGGGCCAAATCTGGCTTTCTCCTCTTCACTTGGTTCAGCCTTGGCAAGCGTTGATTTCCTGCTATACGCCATGACGCTAGGCGTGAAGAGGATTCATTTTGAGCAAGTCTATGGCTCAAACCAAGCCATTTGGATTCCATGCAACAATGGCAGCACGGTCGCACAGACACACTCAGGATACTATGCCCTCATCACCGCGTCGGAGTTCATCGGCGGGACCAGTGGCAATACGAAGGTCCAGCAGATCACCCCTGGCGGCGGTAACGACGGATCGACTTTCTCTGCGTACGTTGCATACAACGGTAACACTCCGAACCGTGTTGCTCTTCTGAACCTGAACTACTGGGACCAGTCGCAAAATATTGCGCGCCCACAGCCGACCATCCAGGTCAGCGGCATTCCATCGGGTCTGTCTTCAGTGAATGTTGAGTACCTCACCAATCCAGGGGGTGCCGGCCAGAATGCGGATCAGACAACGTTTGGGGGCAGTCAGTGGCCATACTCGACTCTTGGCGTTGAGAAAAAGGGGGTTCAGAACACGACCATCCCAGTGGCAGTGAAGGGCGGTGTGGCTCAGATTCCAAGTCCATATAGCTCTGTTGCTATCGTCTACTTGTCTTGAGATTGATGTCGAAGTCTCTTTCGCCTTTGGCCACAAGGAACACTGCAGACTGAAACTCAGCTTATGCTTATGCTTGCACATGCTAGGCCGAGGACAAGATTTCAGAACAAGAAGCCAAATTGAACTTTCTGCAATTGTCAACATTCTCCATCTTATGCTTCCAACTTCTGATTTTGCTCCAACGTTCAAACATACGGTGTCTTGAGACTAGGGTGATTGAACAGATCGTCGACTCACGACCGCCTCGCTCGCCCGTCTTGCCCTTAGCAGGTTGGTCGCCTTGCAAGAGTCACAGTGGAGCAATTCAATGCCATGTTCTGCATGCTTTGAAATAAAACCGAGGCTTGTGAGTCCATTCAACTACAATTGGCATCAGGCCGACGAGGAATACCATCTTACTGGTTTGGCGCCCTCAGTCACAACTCGCGCGGCACGACTCCCATTCTGGTCCAAAAACAGAAGAGGGCCCGATCCTTACATGTGCGGAAACAGTTCTCCAAACATCCTAGTCAGACAGGATGAACCACCTGACTTCCACATGTCTTGATTCGGAACGGCTCCACAAAGTCCGTCCTTTGCCAGCCGTCCTTGTTTAGGAAGGTACCCGCCTTCAGCCTTGCACTCTCCGCACAGGATCACATACCATGTTCGAGTTGCCTTACACAGGTCGGCTGGCCCCTCACTTTCAGCAGCAAAATCGCAAAATCCCCTCTTTGGTAGGGATTGGGTCTGTTGGGTCTGTTGGACAGCTCAGTTATAATTTGGAGCTCAGTTCTCCGAGTGGGAGAAAAGCACAACTTCAGAGTCTGTCCCTTATTATTTGGTTAAACCTAGTTCTCGCAACATTGCAACTTTTGAATACGATTCTACCAACTTCGTCGTCAAAATGGGCTCGATCTCTCCAGTGAAACGCTACGCCATCGTTGGCCTGGGCGTTCGCTCTGCATCCTACTACCAAAGCATCATTCAAGATTTTAGCGAATATGCACAAGTTGTGGGAATCTGCGATCTCAACCAGACTCGCATGAACGCCGCGAATGATGCTATGGAGGCAATTGGAGCCCCGCGGGTCCCAACCTATAAAGACCACGATTTCGACAAGATGATCCACGAGCAGAAGCCAGATGCTGTCATCGTGACTACCATCGATAGAGTTCACCACATCTACTGCATCCGAGCGATGGAGCTGGGTTGTGATGCCATCACGGAGAAGCCTGTCACGATCGACGAGGAGAAGCTTCAGCTCATGATTGACGCCGAGAAGAGGACTGGCAAGCAAATTCGGGTTCTGTTCAACTACCGCTACTCTCCCCATCACACAAAGATCCGCGAACTTATCAAGAGTGGAGTGATCGGAGACGTATCATCGGTACATATGGACTGGATATTGGATACTGCTCATGGATCGGACTTCATGCGTCGCTGGCATCGAGAGAAGGAGAACAGTGGTGGTATTCAAATGCACAAGAGCATACACCATTTCGATCTGATCCACTTCTGGCTCAACACTGCACCGGAGACTGTATACTGCGTGGGTGGTCTGCGGTTCTACGGCCGAGAGAATGCGGAGAAGCGTGGCGAGAAGTACACCGGAGACAGATATCTCAACAACGCCGAAGCAAAGAACGATCCATTCGCCATCGACATTGTCAAGAACGAGCATTTGAAGAAGCTCTATCTTGACGCTGAGCATGAGGATGGCTATATCCGTGACCGCAACTGCTTTGCAGATGGCATCACAATCGAAGATACCCTGTCAATGGTCATCACCTACGGCAACGGAGCAGTCATGACATACAACACCTACGCCTTTGCTCCCTGGGAAGGTTACCGCGTTGTGTTCAATGGCAGCTTGGGCCGACTCGAGGTCAACTTGGTGGAAGAGGGTTACTCCGGTGCCATCGACCACAAGCCCGCCGCTGAGGGAGAAGACGACAAGAAGAACCAGGGTGGCGTCGAGCAGACCTCGATCGTCGTTCAACCAATGTTCGGCAAGGCGTATGAAGTCAAGACCGAGAAGTCGGCAGGTGGCCACGGCGGTGGCGATCCAGTTCTGCTGAGGGATGTATTGGTTAGCGACCGACCTGATCAATTCAAGCGAGCTGCGTTCCTCCGCGATGGTGGCAATGCCGTACTTGTAGGTGTTGGAGCGAATCATTCAATGAAGTCTGGCCAAGCCGTGAAGGTACAGGAACTGGTGTCGTGGTAGACGAGAGGTCAGGTCGTTCTGGGCATTTCTTCAAGTGGCATAGACTTTTCGGCAACGTAGATTCGAATTCTTCGCTCAGTCAATATTTCAATGAAGTTGCTTATCTTCTCGGGGCTGGTCAATGTCTTCAATTGAGCAGTTATAGCGCGCTAGCAGATTGACAATCACATGAACAAACCACTGAATAGGAGTGGTGATATCTGGTATACACGAGCACATGTGCTCATTCATGAGTCCACATTCTTTTACGAGCATCCGTGGCAATGAGTCTGCAGAAGATATTTTCATTTGATCAGTCGTCAGGTCATTGCCATCTTCGCTCACTACTAAGTCTTATAACAAATTCGCTTGTTTCAAACATTGTCAATTCATACCTGTCCAGCAGGGCCAGTCGCTGTCGCAGGCGGTACCACAACTGTCACCACAGTCGTCACAACCACCACACATGGGCTGCCACCATAGCCGTCCTCAGGACAGTCTCCAGCATCTCCATTCTACGAAGATACCGCAGCCGCCGCGAGGAGGCAATCCAGCGCCGAGCTGTGTGCTGCAGCCGTGATGTTCTGCAACGGGCCCTGCCAAAACGCACCCAATTTACCGTCGCCTTGACGATTGCTCTTCCAGATCGAATTGGCGTTGTACTGTAGGAAGTCGGCGAAGTCATCGTCGGGCTGAGCGTGATGTAGGTACATCAAGTTCCGAGCGAAGACGCCTTTGAATTGGGCGCCTGTTGGGTCCGGGCCGACAGGGTAGCCGACGTCTGTGAGGACGCCGTTATTGGGCTTTGCGAGTTGGTCGATAGCTGCGTGGGCGATGCCGTTGGCGATATCGAGGTACGAGGAGTTGTCCGTCAATGTGTTCATCTCAACTAAAGCGCCGAGGATTACTCCTTGATTGTAGCTGTACACGGCGCCTATCCTTTCACAGTTGCTGCTCACGTTGAGGCCATCGCTGATGGTGTGGTTCTCGTTGAAAAATCCCGCACCGAGGAACCAGTCGAGCTGCGACTGTGCATACTTCTGGTACGATGTACCGTCATCCATGCGGTTTGCTAAAGACGCCGCAATTGCAAGGTACAGTTCATTGCCGATCGCAGTGTTGTCTGTCTTATCTTTGCTCCACCAATGGCCGCCACAGGTGGCATCGTTGCCGGTGAGCAAGTCGTTGAAGATCTCGTTGGCCGCATCCAGGTATTTGGTGTCTTGAGTGACGTCGTAGGCCTTGATCCATCCCATCGCCCACCAACCTTCGTCGTCGTAAAATTCATTCAGCCAGCTGTTGCCATTGGCTGCCTTCGCCGCAGTGAGACTCTTTGAGTAGATGTCGACGGCTGTTTGCTTGAAACCGTCGTTGAGTAGTGCCACGTCGCCGATCGTGGCCAGTATGGCGCCGCTGTTCCACCACAGTTCTTGCCACATCCCGTCATTCTGGCTGTACCACTGCTGGTTCAGGATGTCTGAGGCATTGAGTGTGTGGTCGATGTACTCTTGTTTGGTGGCCGCCAGAGAAAGTGACGGAGAGAGTGAGAGTAACAACACTGCCGATGCAGTCGGGAGGCAAGATTGGAACATTTCTTGGTGCTTGTCTTGCAAGTAAAGTGAAGACAAGTTTGATGTGTGAAAGGCCGGGGAAATGGGCAAGGAAAAAAACGAAGACAACTCACCGACAACAACGCCTGACTTATTATACCACGATAAGCAATTCAACAACAGTGCGTGAGGCAGTGACCTCACCTTCTTCACAAACCGTTGCAAGGCTTGGCTGATGGTAGAATCAGGCAATTTCTCAAGATGCACCATCGCTAGCAGACGGTGCATGCTGATCTTCACAGCGGCGTAGTATGGAGTCACATGACTCGTCGTAGCTAACAGGCCCCACGAGAGAATTGATCCACTCAACCTGAGGCTTCCAAGAAGCAAACAAATCCTTCTGCCATGTGGCGTAGCAGGAGCTTATCGTATTTCTGTAACGTTTCGCATCTGGCGCCCACCTGAGCGTGAAACGCTTATGAATGGTCGCCATGGTTTTCTTCCGACGTGCATTTAGGCGTGTGCTGGCACGAAGTGTAGCGTGGTATGGTGCGACAGACAACGAGGTCGGAGGTTGTGGAGAGTTGAACTGTGCACCGCATTGTCATGGTGGATCGGGGAATTCTCGTGAATGCTGTGCAAGATGATGATCTGTAGCCATGGCGCATGTGCCGTTGCACAGCCTCATGTAGGCGCCGTCAGGTGTATTCTTTCAGTAAGAGCATTTTCTGGAATCCGCTCGAGGAAGCTGGCTGAATGCTGATGGCCCCAGGTTGGTGCAGGATTGGAGTGAGTTGAAGGAGTGAGGATAAGAATAGGGTCACGACTTCGCCGCGCCGAAGAAAGTTTGTTCAGCACGGATTTCCAAGCGGTCTGTGGTGCACCGAGAGCCAAGACTTCACCTGTTGTCTTCTCAACCTCGGCAAACTCCTTCACATGTCCAGGGATGGTTTTGCAGCGAGGTCGTACTTGACGATCGCTCTGTTTATATCGATGTCGAATTCACAGCTCCAAGTCTGATCACAGCTCTCTATACACTTTGACTTCGTCAACGTCCCTCTTCAACACGTCAAACTTGGCCCATTGGCACCTCCTTACCAACCCCTCCCTCCTCGAACAGGAACAATAACCGAATAACTCATCTTGCTCCCCACCTCCTGCACGCCCGTCGTCAAAAACAACGGCGTCATCCTCCCATCATCACTGAAGAACAGCTGCGGCCTCTCCCTTCGATAATAATCAATATCCGTCCCATCATCAAACTCCACTTTCGTACTAAATGCAAGAGTCTCATTATTGAATTTCCACGGCCCCCCAATACTCCTCGAAAACGCATGCCTGCCGACTTTCGGTCCCCCGCCAAACCCGCCCTCTGGCTCGAGCGAGTGCACGAGGATGTGGTAGTTCCCTCGCTTGTCTTGCCAGATGAAGGGGTCTTCGGAGCCGCCGTCGTTTGTGAAGATGGGTTCGTCGTTGTTGAGGTGGGTATAGGGACCGTAGAAGGAAGGGGCAGAGGCGAGGGAGATTTGCTCGGCGCCGGAGCAGTTGTAGGGACAACCTCTATAGGCGAGGAGGATGTCGCTGTCTTTGCACTTCGGCTTACCCCATCCGAATCCCCAAGGCCACCCGCCTTGATTCTTCTGCTGACCAGAGCATGATGGCCATGGACTTGGGTTCGTGAAGTCCGCATTCCAGCTTGCATCGTCTTTGCCTTGAATGACTTGGTCTACAAACTCCCAGTTGCGCAAGTCTTTGCTTTTCTGCACGCTGATCCCGCTCTCGCCGTTGACGTAGTTACCAGGCCCGCAGGTAAACTGCGGACTTTTGCACGTCTCGTTGACGTTGGGTTGCGGACACCCGATGTAGTACATCAAGTACCGCTGGTCAGCAGGAGAATAGACCACGGTTGGGTTGTGTGCGAAATGCTCCACGACTTGCTGCTTGAATATGTACGGTCCATCGGGTCCGCTGTGGGACTCGGCACGGATTATGCGGGAGTATGGTGACCAGTAGTCCAGACCGCAGTGGTTGTCGAACTCGGCGATGAACGCGTGGTAGAGGTTCTTATCGTGGGGATCTTGGATGATTTTCGAGCCCCAAGAGGAGATGTCTGTTCGATTAGCAATTGCATCCAAAGTCACATAGGACTTCTGCTAGGTAGACGTACTTTCATCTGTTCGATTGTACCCATTGTCCCGCTTCGCAGGCTGAACGTCCAGCTCGCCACAATCGGTTCCACGCCATCCTGCGTCGCAGACACATTGCCCATTTCTCCTCGAACAAACCCCATTGAGGCTGCAATCTGTATCTGTACTACATTGTAGGCTTCCAGTGGTCAAAGCCAGCAACAGTAAGACCAAGGAAGCGAACTTGTGAGCCATGATTTGCGCGCAGGTGTTGCTGAAACAGGAGGAAAGGGAATGTCTCTTACTTAAAGAGGAGATCTCGTCAACCTATACGAGATGTTACAGTCGCATTCTATGATCTGATCAGTAATTGCGGTCTCTTTCTGTCGAAGGATTGCAGTGCGGAGAAGTGAAGTGGAGGGAGGTTCATGCTGGTATGTCGATCTCGTGAACTCAATTGTTGGTTTCAGCCTAAACTGTTTTGCATTGCTGTCTGCATGACTGCAACCGGTTCGTGGTTCATTTCAGGTATGTTATGGTCCTGACATTTTAACTTGACGACGGCCCGAGCAGTCGCCTCTCCACCAGCACTTCCGCAGAACCTTGGGACAAAGCTGTCACCAGTTCATCTGCTGCGGCATTCAAAGCTTCGTTTGAGAAAGGATCCAGCGCATCCATAATAATCAACACGCTTGTCGTATCAGCCGTCAAAGCAGTCCTCGTGCACTGTCGCCAATTCCACCTTCGACAAGTAACTCCAGCGTCATCACACCAAACAACCTCCCCAACATCCGGATGTTCAACAACCGGCTCACCACCCTCCTTCGTCTCAAACTTCTCATCCCCTTTCGCACGCTTCAAGAATGGAGAGCCGTCATACTTGGCGAGATCCTCACCGCCGAGCGGGATCTGGTGCTTGACACTGATCGCATTATAAGTGTCTGTGAGGCGATTCACTCGCGGCAGCCCAGCATCCACACGTCGAGTGAGTGCTTCAAGACTGTTCCGGAATTTGGGCTTTGAGCCGAATTGCTTATAGGCTTGTCTCCAGGCGGCGACATGTGGAATGTCTGTGACTGGGGTTTTGGCGAGAGTGGCTTTCGCGGTAGATTCAGCTTCTTGGAGCAGCGCTTCGCTGGCGTCGTCGCTAGATCCGGTCGGAACATTCTCTAGGGCAATCAAGAGGCATCGATAGTCAGGTCGAAGACTGAAGACTTCTGGTGCGATGTGGGCTCCGTCCAGGAAGGCCTTGAGCTTAGTGTTGGCCATGTTGGGAGTTAGGTGAGAGGAGGAAGAAGCAGTACAGCGATAACCGCCACTCTTCTCGGTCACACATATGACCTACATATAGACGGATCTGAGAGTGCAGCAAAGTTTTCTACGCCCTACGAGGCGCATCGCTCGACCGCGCGGAAAAGGACCGAATTACGTATTGTCTTGAACGGCCGGGGTTTAAAACGAGAGTCTGGGCGCCTGGGGCTTCTTTTGAGTAGAACGAAGGCCTCCCATCAGAAGAGATGTTGTGCAAATGTGGAATAGCAAGTGCAAGTGAATGTGGTTCTTCCAACCCGAAACCGAGCTCTCCGCTTACTCATCCACGCTAGTCCCATCCCGCACCACATCCGTCGAAATTCCTGCGCTTCTTCACTTCCCTTTCTTCTCTCAAGTTGATAAACCATGGCCCCGATAACCCTTGTGTGGTGACGATTCAATTCACCAAATGCATATTCCTGTGTGGCCCAGATCAGATTCATCGCCTTTCTAATCCTGACGCGAATGAGGCGCTTTGGCGCTGGTGGTGTGGCAGGTTCGCTTTCTGGCGTACAAATTCGACAACAAGTCCTTCGTGCATGAAGACGGAGAGGGGAGAAAGAGATGTTGAGTTACGGGGTCATCATATATACCTACATCGTGCTCGTCATGATCTTGGTGCTGTGGAGCGCATACGGGCATGCGCCGCAACAAGCTGAGAGGGCGGCTGGGCTCTTTCATCCACCAAGCACGCATCATCGGCATCAACAGAGCTTGGGCAGCCTGCATGCTATGGAGTGGGAGCAGTAAGAGCTGGCTTGAGGGCAGCGTGCGCAAGTTTATATCGGCGGAGCGTGTCCTTGTGTCGCCTGCAAGGTCGAGCATAGTGCGCGCAACCTACAAATAGGCCGTGTACTCTTTACGACGATATCCATCCCCGGCTTGCCTGCAGAGCCCTCAGATCTCGTTCTCGTACCATGATTCATCGCCATGGGTCCAGCTTCTTCAAGACGCCCACTCACTTCGACCTTTCGCCGGAGAAGTTCCCACTCAACAGAGCAGCGATGGCTACCTCGTGATGATCGACAAACGTACCCGGGTCTCTCGGGATGTAAGAAGGGAATCCGTTCCTGATTTGCTCCACCACGCTCCAGGAGACTCCGCCATCGACATCGTAAGTCTTGCTAGTGTTGAAGGAAGTGGTATTGATACTGTAATACAGCACCGGCACCTCGTCAAAACCCACCTCAGAGCTGATGTTCGCTAATACCACGCCGGTCGGATCAATAACCCAGACGGCTCCAATGCCCGAGTGGAAGACATATGCACCAGAAAGGACTGCGTAGTGAGCTTCGGCACCCAGATTGACGGTGGTGACTTCCCACCAGTTCGCACCCTTCACGTCGTCGTCTACAAGGTAAGAGAATTCCGACAAGTGAATGTTCTCAAGCTGAGCCTGCATTGGGATGGTCATACTCGGCCAGAAGTGCCTGCTGACTGTCAGTATCAATTTCAAGAAAGGACCGATGCGAGACTATTCTTACTCATAGCATTCGAGCAGTCCGATACGACCGTGCGGAGTGGCCACAACGTCCAACATGTCCATCGAGCCGTCGCTGAAGATCAGACGTTCTTCGCCCGAAGGCCGCAGCTTGTGACGATGAACGAGGAGGTCGCCCGAAGGGGAAATCAAAGCTTGTGCCATGAAGATGCTACGGTCGGTTCTCTCGCAGAATCCGAACGCAACATAGATGTCAAACTGCTGTGCGGCCAAGACCAGCCGATTCCACTCCGGCCCACCGACCACCATGCAGTTCTGGACGTAACCGGGGAGATGGTCACGATACCAGTCGTTTTTGTTGGACCCACTGGGATATCTATTGTTGTGTCAGCCATTGCAATGCACTGGAGGGACGGGGCAACGGGTTTACGCTGGGAACCAAAGCTCCGGGAAAGAGATCAGAGAAGCATTGCTCCGCGCGCTGTCGGCAACCAGCTCAATCCCTTTGTCCACAGCTTGACTGAGATTCAGAGTGATCCCCGTCCAGTTCGTGCTCAATATGGGCAACGGCCAATTGGGAGGAGGGGCGCGGACCACGGCCACTGTGAAGTTCGTCTTACTCGTTGGAGAAGATGACGCCCTTCCTGTTGCGAGGCTGGCAGTCGCCACCATCATCTTCGCGAGTGACGGCATCGTGGGAGAGAGAATGGCCTGAATGAAACGAAGCGCATACCGAAGCTATTGGCGATGTCGAGAGATATTTGTAGTCAGAGACAGGGCCGAGCTAGCACACGAGGCCACAGCTGGTGTGAACATAACACTGATAGCAGCAAGTTGGTGTATGATATGAGACAGATATCCATTAGCCCTATTGCTTGCTTGTGTGGCCGGACACTCGAAGGACTACGATTGCGGATGCGAAGCCTGGGCCATCTATCGCACGGCAAGGCTTTTCGGCAGCCGGCTAAACTAGGGGATGCGGACTTTGTGAGGCGGCAGGTGATAGGGCCCTGGCAACCTTGTAGGGCTCCCAACACTTCCCCAAGTCTGATTTGGCATTCAGATTGTACTGACAGCTTGACAGGGCTCGAAGCGTTATAGTCAACGCTGTACCCGCCAATCTCGCACCCCAAAATACGGCACCACCATGACAGAATCGAGCCGTCGGCCAAGGGCGAAAGTCTGCAATGCATGCAGAGTCGGCAAGCGGAAATGCGACACTCTCCAACCATGTTCGCTGTGCCATCGACGACGGCGCCTTGCGTGTATACCACATCTAGCAGCCCCAGACGGAACAGGACAAGGGCATTGGAATCTCACCTCGCCGCTCTTCAAAAGCAGCTCGCTCAGGCGCAGCAAGGTTCGTCCTGGCCCCTCGCAACTGGTTCCACCACAGAAGTCAATAGCACATGCATGCATAGCAAGGATGATGCCACTCTCCAGTCAAACCATGCCGTAGCCGCAGATGCCTTGCCTGCCTCTGGAGCAACTATAGACTATGCCCACCTGGGCTGGGACAGCACGGGAAATGTCAATTACATATCACGCGGCCCAACGAGCGTCTTTGCTGCCCTGCCGGAAGCGCCAATTACAGTTTCCGGCGTGAATGCCACAAAAGAGACCTTCCCAGAGAAGCTGATTCAAAGTTGGGAGTACCTGTACCTTACCTCTGTGCCCGGATTGTGCCCGGATTGCTCGACTCGTTCCAAAAACGGTTCAATCGTTATCACTACATTGTCGATGTGGGTGATCTGCAGCAACTTCAGCAGACCGACTTCTCCTTCGATGATACACTTCTCCGCTGCGTCATTCTCGCCGCGGGAGCTGTCTGTTCGCCAGATAAACAAGTACGGTCAGCAGGTGCTTCACTCGCGGAACACACATCGTTCGCCTTACTTCCGATGGCTTCGGCAAGGCCTGGCGTTACAATCCTACAAAGCCTGCTCGTCTTAACCTTGACCAACGCCATCCAAGCGAATGACTATCAAACAAGAGCTCTCAACGCGCTCGCCAGCGAGATGGCCCGCTGCTTAGGACTGCATGTGCTTAGCAGCGCCAGTGTGATCTTCGACAGTGGCCGCCGTTTCAGCAGTGAATCGCTTTGCCGATTGTTCTGGGCTCACACATACCTGGATCGTGTGGTTTCCGCCATGACGGGCCAACTACCAGGAGTACAGTGGCGACATGTACAAACTCCAGGTAATCGCATCAACAACCAAGACTTACAGTTCACATACTTCATCACTGTCTGCATTCTGTGGCGAACATTCGACACAACCATCGACGAAGTCTACACCCCCACCTTCGACAACCTATCTGCATCCGCTAAAAGAGACCTGCACGTCCGCTGTCAGGCTCAACTACGGGCATTCTACACCAACGACATTCCTCGAGTGCTGATCCCGTCCTCTTCCTCCTTAAAGGATGCTGCCCCAGAAGTCTTGTACTTCCACATCGCCTACCACACCGCAACGCTCCTCATGAACAGGCCGTTCCTCATCGAGACAGGAACCGGCGCCAACTCCAGCGTCATGTCTTCCATCAAACAATCCACATTCACCATTTGCAAGGCCATCCAACTCATCCACAAACGCTCTACATGGTCCGAAGTTCCGGCCGCCCTCTTATTCCACATCGTCCGCGTCTGCGCCGTCTTGCTACTACTCGCCACATCGAGCTCAACGAGCTCTCAGCGCCAAGCAGCGGCGAATCTAAAGATTTGTTTGCGAGCTCTAGAAGCCTGTTGTGAGGTCTGGCCCACATTGGCTCGCCGCTCAATCAATGCCGTCCGAATTCTCGCGGAGAGATGGCGTGTTGTAAGAGTTCTGCCTTTGCGATTTAGCAATCCCATCAGTTGTCAGGTTGATGGGGCTACTATTCCTACAGACCGGCGTGGGGACCCTTGCTGGTATGGACATGACACTGAAGCTGATATGGCATTGGAAAGGACTTTTGAGAGTTGCACGGCGAGGTAGTCGGACAGAGCATTTCCGGAGACTTCACCACGGACGCCAAGCTCTCAAGCAATGCTATGCATGAAATTGTCAACTCCGCCCTCGGGTCCACATCCATGGAGCCGATCACCAAGACAAGATCAACACGAGGTATTGCTGCAAAAGGCAAAAAGGCGAATAACAAGGCGTCGCATGGCTTAGACATACCACATCAAGCACCGACCAACACCTGATGATGGCTGTGGCATCCTTTCCTCGGCAGCAAAAGCATAGCCTCCTCCACATGAATCTCCAGTCCAACATCCTCCTCCGCAATACGGGGTTGGCAGAACAGCTGTTGATGATTCGCCCCAAGTCCTGGGGCTGAAAGAACAACGTCAGACTACTGCACTCAGCATGCACTGCATGGAGAAGAAAGCGGTTTGTTTTTGCGAATTGCGGAGAACAAGATGGTGCTGCGGACAACAAGATCGTAAGATGAATAGCAGACCGACGATCAAGTTGTAAGGTCTATAAAGCTCGCCCGTTGTGCTTATGGACCTGTTTCGTGAGTTGGAAACATTATATCGGTCTTGGCAATTATGATTCGCAATATTCTTCTCTCAGCGCTCTGCATCCTTCCCTCTCTCGTCTCAGCCGGGAACTACTCCAACCCCTTGAAAGCCAACAACGCCGGCGACCCCAACATCGTCTACGAGAATGGCTGGTACTACCTCATGTCTACCACCGGCGCCGACTTGCAGATGACAAGGGCACATACTCTCGATGGGCTGAAACAGGGTGAGAGAAAGCAGGTGTTTAAGGATAGTACGCCGTCGAGATGCTGCAATGTTTGGGCGCCAGAGATGCATAAAGTTGAGGGAGCGTAAGTCAATGAGTCGATCGTGGTAGTATGGTCTACTGATGTGTGGGTTAGGTGGCACATCTACTATGCAGCCGGAGCTGGAGGCGATGAACAGCATGCGCATGTCATCAAAGGTACTACCCCCAATAGAACAAACATGCTGGAGACGCTTCTGACATCAATTCCTTCAAGGCGGCTCCTCCCCATGGGACGCCTTCACGTACCTCGGCCAAATGCGTCCCGACTGGTCTATCGACGGCACGCTCCTCACAATCGCCAACAAGAACTACTTCGTCTACTCCGGCCGAGACACCGACGGCGTGCAAAGCCTCTTCATCGCACCCATGACCGGCGCTGCCACGAGCGGACAACGCAGCCTCCTCGCCAAACCAACGCAATCCTGGGAAACGAACGGCTTCGGCGTGAATGAAGGTCCCTTCGCGCTGTACCATGGCGGGCGCACTTGGTTGACGTTCTCGGCGAGTTTCTGTGGGACAGCGCAGTATTCGCTTGGACTCTTGACATACAACGGAGGTGATCCTTTGCAGCAGGGAAGCTGGACGAAGTCGAATGGGCCGGTGTTCAAGTCTGCCGATGGCAACTATGGGCCTGGGCATAACAGGTACGACGACATCTTCTCAGCATCTCGTCCACTACTGATTGTTTTCTTGCAGCTTCTTCACCAGCCCCGACGGCTCTCAGATCTGGAACGTCTACCACGCCACGAACAACTCGAATGGCAGCTGTGGTGGGGATCGGTATGCGAATGCCTTGATTGTCAATTGGAAGAGTGATGGGACGCCGGATTTTGGAGTGCCGCCTGAGGTGGGCGCTGTGCTTCCTGGGCCGAAGGGGGAATAGTGATGATGTTGGAAGGTCCCACCTCTCATGGCTAGAGGCATTGTGCGGTCTGGTAACATCTCAGTCCTCGATACAAAAAACTATAGCTCATTCGTCGATCAAAGGTCTCCCTGGGCCAAGATGGCGTCTTGTGTTTCAAAACATATCTCATCGACTTGTCTGCAGAGCCTTGCCGCCTTGTGAAACCAAGGATTGATTGGCGCTGCACGGATCATCTGCCGTCTCCCCCTTCCCACCTTGCGCTGACCGCTGTTCACCTTCCACTCTTCTTCATCAACAGCTGATAATACCGTTCTGTTTCAACAACCACTCGCACACGATGCCAGGCTCGATTTCTGCGACTCTTCTTGATGACTTACCACCTGAGATCCTGCAGGAGAATAGCGAGCATCTGGATCACCCGTCTGCGAAGGCATTGAGTCTGGTAAACAAATCTTGCCGAGCGGCCGTGGTCGCTACGGTGTTTCGAAGCCTTGTATTCCATCTCGAATGTCGAGAGTCTCTGCAGTCAGACGCCGCCACTTTCGCAGCGACGCTAAAGCAAGCAAACGCGTTGAGGCATGTTCGTTCACTCGAGATCCAGGGCCAGTTTCGGAAGTTCAACGACCAGCCGAGATTTTCTCCCTTATGGAGGTCTGGCCACCGCGTAAAGTATCGACGTAAAGCATGGTATCCAGCTGAGGAAAACACAGACTACAAGCCGGCCACCTTTGCCTACGAAGACGATGATACATGGAAGCCTTTGGCCAGTGTCGTGGAGAGACTTCCGGGACTCAGAGACCTCATCTTTAGTCCTCCCCACTAGCTGCCGCCTTGCTTACTCAAAGCGCTGCACTCTCGACTGCCAAATTGTAAACTGCATATGTTGAACTTCACCCTTCGCAGTCTGTCAGATGAAGTCTTCGACCAGCACGAACACGAACTTGTTACTTCGCCGAATCTCTCGACAATCCGAACTCGATACGGGATTGTTGACAAGCATGGGAAGAATGACTGGAATGACCTGGCCGTCCTTGACGTGGTAACAGGCCTCGCCCCTGCTCTGGAAGAGTGCTACCTAGGTTATTGTTTCGGTGGGCCGGGTGGCTCTCAGGCTCAGCCTGACAGTGCTTCCTATCGCCGGCCGTGGAAAGGCCTTCCGCGCACTGTACCACCCCAGCGAGGGAGCCTGAAAACACTCTGCATCTACAACGCATCCGACTGTGTCACATCAGATGGCCTCGCTGTTTGGTCACCCGCCACCGACTTGTCTGTACTACGTCAACTGTACCTCGGAGCGGTCGACGAGAGCGCACATCGGTGGCTTCGCACGGAGCAGCCATTCAAGGACCTGACAACTCTTAAGTTGCACTGCCGTTTCGACGAAGAAACGGTTTCTGTTGAGATGTCAAGATTTCTTGAAAGCTTACCTCCACTGCAAGACCTGGAGATACACGGCTTCTTTGACGAAAACAGCCTTCGCAGCCTTTGTCTACAACAGCAGGGCAACCCATCCCTGCGCCGTCTTGTCCTTGCTTGGGACCATGGTGTCGAGCCTCTGGTCTTCGATTCTCTACAAACGAGAACTCTAGTTGTGCACTGTCCCCGGATTGAAGAACTTGAGCTAAGTGTACAGCGAGTCCAGGGCGGCCTTGAAGAGTTCAAGATATACTCCCAGTTGGGAAGATTGCCGTGACTGCGAACTCTTTGCCTTAAGCTGGAGTGCGGGCTGCCAGACTCAATCGCAATTGAGGAGAGAGGAGACGGATCAGTCATTCTGGCAACAGAGGAATGGTTTGAAGATTTCGAAGACGAGGCATTTGCTCCCCCAGAGGGCACTAGCGATCGTGAAGATCGGCCCCAGTTCCGCAATGGCCACGTGATGAAGGTCTTACTGAATGCCGCTATTGATAAACGCCTTGCACTCTCCATATGGGGTGCAATTACCTCGAGAAGCTTGAAGCAAACGGCGCCGCTAAAACACCTGAATATGTACACAAACTGGCTCGTACGGCCTCCTGGTCTCGATGTCGCGGTCAAACATTTGGGGGGACCGTGGGTGATCAAGAACGGTGCGATTGTTGACTTGACGCCTTCAGCACCGACGATGCCCCTTCTGTCTGGACCTTATAACACCGCACCAACTGTTGATTCGAAGAAGAAAGACGATGAGGAGTTGCCAGCACATCTGACCGAGATGATGGAAAGATTGTGGCCTGGGATCAAGAAAAGCCGGAACTGGAGAGCACATTGGCACAGTCGGCCGCTGTGGTCTTCACTACCAGTGATGTTGCGGATGCAATGATTCTGAACGCAACGGGACAGTTAATACTGTACATGGTCATCTCCAAGCTATCTATCAACGTGGGTTGTAAGTGTCGCTAGAACTGCGGGAAGTTCAGCAAGGTAGACAATGACGGAGGATATGCCAACCTTGATGGCTCACTTCACCTTGATGGACCAAATCGCCGTACCTGACATGAGAGATATGTCGCAGCATGGTACACACACGACAGACCAAACAACACTTGAAAACGATCGGATCAACCCAAGATGTCACCTTCACGAGCAGACAGCCTCTCGCCGACCCGAGAAGAGACCCTCCCCTTCGTTCACGACGTTATCATCGTAGGAGCCGGACCTTGTGGCCTGGCAGTCGCGGCTCGTCTCCGCGAACAAACGCCCTCTGCACTCTTCACCGACGAAGAGCATCATCGATACCACTGGATCAGTAGGCATGCCTCCAATGCTGCTATCAAGAATTCCAAGACTGGACAAACTCGGACGTGCGAGGGCAACAACAGTAGCAAGAAGAGTGGCTTTCAACCATCGATGCTGGTGCTGGATAACTCAGGCAATACCTGGATGTCGAAATGGAACAGGCTCTTTTCCATGCTGGAGATCTCGCATTTAAGGAGTCCGATGTTCTTTCATCCAGATCCTCATGACCGAGATGGGTTGTTGGCGTATGCTCATAAAGAAGGGAGGGAATGTGAATGTTTGGAGATCGCGGGCTGTGTTGGCAAGGAGATTAGCAAACACCAGATGAAGAAGAAGAGGGCGAGAAGAGGACCTGGTGAGCAGTGAGTATTGGAGGTGAAGGTTGGTCAGGACTTAGTTGACATGAACGCATCAGAGCCCGGCCTACCATCACCATCGACGAGCGAGATCGCAAGGACTACTTCGCTCCACCAAGTGACCTCTTCCAGAACTACTGTGCCTGGATCGCCGAACGCTACGGTCTTTGCGATGAAGACCTAATACAGAAAGCTTCGGTCTCAGAAATCGACTACGACTTCGTCCCACAGCTTTCCCCCGATGAAAAGCTCTTCACAATCCGGACAGACGGTTCCATCTACTATGCTCGCAGCGTCGTGTTGGCAGTGGGAGCTGGCAATGCCCCTTCAATACCCAAGCCTTTCCCTCACACTGGATGTCCAAATGCATGCCATGCTTTCCAACCACTTGATGCAGCTTTGGCGGCAAGGGTGAAAGCAAGGAAGTCGACCAATGTGATGGTTATTGGCGGTGGTTTGACCAGTGCTCAGATTGCGGATCGAGCGTTGAGGAGGGGGGCGACAAGGGTGTATCATCTTATGAGGGGGCCGATGAAAGGTGTGTTGAATCTTGAACACTTCATGGAGATACAAGATGCTGATATGTTGCCAGTGAAACCCTTTGATGTCGACCTGAGCTGGATGGGCAAGTTCCGGAACCACGAAAAGGCCTCGTTCTGGTCCGCAGATACTGATGAAGGTACGCTACTCCTAGACTCCATCACCACCTCACTCAACTAATACCCCATCTCCAGAACGCTCCGACCTCGTCAAATCCGCCCGAGGCGGCGGCAGCATAACGCCCCGCTTCGCCAAAACCCTCGACGCCCACGTCCGCACAGGCAAACTCTCCATCCACACGCACACGACTGTCACGCACTCCACCTACCACCCGACCGAACAAACCTGGTCCCTCGAGACCTCGCCTCCCATCCCAGACCTCCCCAAAATTCACTACGTCTACTTCGCCACGGGCGTGCAGAGCGACTTCGAAAAACTACCGTATCTGCAAAAAATCGTGCAGAAGTACCCCGTCGAGTCGTTCGATGGACTGCCGGCGTTGACGGACGATCTGATGTGGAAGGGGGATGTGCCGCTGTTTATGACGGGGCGGTTTGCGGCGCTGAGGGTGGGGCCTGGGGCGGCGAATTTGGAGGGGGCGAGGTTGGGTGCTGAGAGGATTGTTTGGGGGTTGCAGGATGTTTTCAAGGAGGAGGGGGGTGTTGGGGGAAGTGTTGGTGATGAAGGGGAGGGGGGAGATGAGAGCGGGGTGAGGTATGCGAGTGGGATTGGGAGTCGGTTTGAGAGTTTGGAGGTGGAAGGTTAGATACTGTCGGCGTGGACGGTCGAGAAGAAGCAGGCGTTGACTGGTTCATGAAGTCTGGAACGAATGGCCTCTGAAGTATAACGCACAGAGCACAATTGATGAAGGACGTTTCCGCCATGTTAAAGAAAGTGACGGCGAAGAAACTCAGATATGGTAAGAAAGAGATCAAAAATGTCATCGACCAGCCCAGTATGTCAGCACGTGGGCATTGCGTGCATCGATACGGGCTTGGCGGCACAAAATAATTAGTCCGTCGTATTTCTTTCAGCCTTAAGATTTGAAACCCTCGAGCTTCATCCATAGGTGGAAAGGGCAACGAGATGCGCAGTTGGGTGCTCGTATGGATAAAGGGGAGAGCTGTTCGTCGGTGTCTTGGTTTGGTGCTGCTACATTCGCTGGATTCACCCTACCTGGGCGGGATATAAAGCTCGCCAGGTCGTCTTTGTTGATTTTGGAGTGTTGCGAATGTTTCACTGCATTGTACAGTGTGCAGGGTCTTCTTTGCGGGATGGATACGATCCAGCGACTTGTTCTGGATACCCTCGCGATGCTGTTGCACATGGGCGAAGCCACTGCCACCGGAGTCCACCCTTTGGATAACCAAGTCCGAATGGCGATGGGATGACCTGACGTTGGTTGTGGTCTTGTCAACCTCGGAACCCGGTCTTCTCGACGACTCCAATCCGAGACATAGCGCCATGTTCGACAGCTTCTTCGTCACCAGACTTCTCGCAATGTTCCTGATTGGGAAACAGGAAGACGCAACGACGTGTCGAGCACGCCATGCATCTGTACGAGCACGACTTTTGGCGTCGCCCCTTTTCCTCAGCTGGACGCCGTGATAGCCGTGGCTTTCGTTGTGGACGGCGTGGATTTTTAGCCAAGGGGGGTTTAGACTTCGGGTTATCGGCGCCGACGCTGAGCCGCCAGAAAAAACCGCACCATCTTACGACCATTCCACGAGGCTCTCGTGATATTTGAGGATTGACGCGTCCTTCACGACGAATCTTGCAGGAGGAGACTGCGAATTATAGCAAATCGTGCATATGCAGGTCCAGCCTTGCAAGACACGATCTAGACGCCACCCCGGTTCCTTCGAGTGGCCGCTATTCGCTTGGCGTTCGACCGTTCCGACGCGCAGGAGAGCCAATAATCAGCCGCAGCAGCACGCCCGCGGGCTTCCCTCTGGCGGAGTTAGGCATGCCAGGAGGTTTTCTGCAAGACTCCAACATCACTTCTTCAATTTGGGTCATGTTCAGGCCGCGACGAGGTCGTTTTCACGTTCGTTCCTGGTGTTGATGCGACGGGCCAATGCTCAATCTACGCCAGAGCCTGCGGACACGGCAAGGCAGTGAGGAGCGGTCCGCCGCTTCTTGGCGCCTGCTGGCCTCCAAACCCGCCAAGTTCATCGCCACGGGGCTTCTGGCCGTCTCCTTTGCCTTCATCTTGTTGCGGCTCTTTCACTACCCAAATCATGTGGCGACGACGACGACAGCTCCGATTGCGCAGATAGTCAACGACGTTCAGAACGCAGTCCCTGAGACCGCGACACCAGCAGCAGCACCGCCCGTCATCAAGGGAAATGCGCGCCTTCACCTCCTGGTCCCGGCGACCAGCACGAATGCAGAACTCTGCAAACTCCTTCTTTCCGCGCAGATTCTGGGCTATCCGACCCCCGTCTTAATTAATTATGGCGACCACGAAGCCTCCGACCCTTACGTTCAGCACCTCGCAAAGGTCGAGGGCATCCTCCGGTATCTGGAGACGCTCGAGCCGTCGGGCGACTACGCCGAGGATCTTGTACTAATTGTCGACGGCTACGATATATGGTTTCAGCTCCGGCCGGATGTTCTTCTAAAGCGATTCTATGAGATCAATGCTGCGGCGGATGCGAGGGCGATTGAGACGTACGGGGAGGAATTTTTCAGCCAGCATGACATGCGACAGACGATTGTTTTTGGCCCGGATAAGATTTGCTGGCCGGTGGATTTCAGCCGACCGGCGTGCTGGGCGGTGCCGACGAGTCCTTTGCCTCAGAGTGTGTTTGGAACTCCGCCGAACGGAACGGATGACCGTGATAAGAACCAGGCTCGATGGCTGAACAGTGGAACTGTCTTAGGGAATGCGCAGGATATGAAAGCTGTCTTTGCCGCCACTCTGGAGGAAATTCACACGAATCACACCACCGACTCGGATCAGTTCTACTTTTCGAATGTCTTTGGGAATCAGGAACTCGCTCGTCTCCGCCTCAAGCCAGAGTTGCTTGAAGAGGCGAAGAGTGTGAAGTACTATGATTGGGAAGACAAAAGCGAGGGCTTCCGCGCTGAGCCAGATCTTTCGAATAAGAAGACCGAGTACCACATCGGTATCGACTACTATTCGAGCATGTTCCAAACGCTGGCGTTCTGGAAACAGCACCTGTCGTGGTCACGAGCGATCGATTCATTTGATTCGCCTTTTGGGAGCAGTCCATACCAGATGCTCTTGGCCGATGACATCGAGGAATCACCTCCTCCGTTCCAGTCTTTGGAAGATGGTCGCGATGGGGAGAAGCATCCTGGTTCATGGGCTGAAGTGGAATTGGCGTACAATGTCATCACGCAAGAACAGCCCGTCCTTGTGCATGTGACTGGCAACGCCGACGAGAAGCGGTACCGATGGCTATGGTGGTCGAGGCTATGGTTTCAGGCGAATGCAGAGAGCCTTCGACTTGCGACAACCCAGCTGGACCAGCGACGGATCTCGCAAGAACCGATCGGCGGGTATATCTGGTATCACGCGGATGAAGGTGATGCAGAGGAGGTAGCGTCCGTGGGGAAAGGTGGCGCATGGACGGATCGAAGAGGATGGTTGGGCTGGAAGCGATTATGTGGGCCTCATGAAGAGCAGATCTATCATGTGCCTGATGATGAGTGGTGGCATCCAAAGCCGGATCCTGAAGCGCCTCCTCCTCCGCCAGAGGGAGAAGGTCTACCACCACCGCCCGAGGCTGAGTTCCCTCCACCGCCAGAAGGAGAAGGTCTACCACCACCACCTCCTCCAATGGGAGAGATGCCCTCACCAGTAGAAGAGGCAGCACCTCCACCGCCAGAGCCTCAAATGCCGGCAGCAGAACTACCGGCGGAGGCTCCAAACTTTCCAGCAGGGGAAGAGCCCCGAGCGAATAGCGGAGATTACATCCCAGTGGAACAGGCTCCGCGGGAAGTGATAGATGCAGCTGCACAGAACGCTAGAAAGCGGCGGAGAGATTCCCGGCGATAGCGTGCATGCATTCGGATTACGCAAGAAACCCTGAAGAGGAAATCCTTGATCTGAGTACTGTCATTTTAGCGAATCAATAGACAAAGATGTTGCAACGAGCGCTACCTTCGCCTCTTTTCAGGTCTCGTTCGTAGGGTTCGCTTTCGCGCGGCGCGGCTGGGATGGAGCACTACGGGGAACGGGGAAAGCGGGTGGAAGGGAAATAAGTTTCGAACAAAGGTACGAAAGTTGTTATCCCTCACCGCCTGCGATATCAACACCGCCCGACTGACTTGGCAACTTCTGACCCCTGGAGATCATGACATACGAGGTCATGGGATGCGGTACGGGTGAGGATAAAAGAGCCAAGAACGCAGGAGAGAAAGAAATGCTGCAAGTCGACAAAGCAGGGATTCTTTGAAATAAGGCTGCAGCTATGGCCACACTTTTACGCCCTTTGAAATGGTTCTTGCGCGAATTCGGATTGTCATCCATCCACGCCGTCGGTCGAGATGCATACATTGTCATTGCCTGTCGAACGCTGAGAATGTTTGCTCACGGAGCCACGACGCTCATCTTAGGTACATACCACCCCTCCCCTCCCAGATCCCCCAAATCCCAAAAATCTGACCTCCGTACCAGCCCCCTTCCTCGCCTCCCTCTCCACCCCCGACCCCTACATCGGCCTCTTCCTCACCCTCACCCTCCTCGGCGACGTCATCCTCGGCCTCTACCTAACCCTCATAGCGGACACCTTCGGGCGGCGCCGGATCCTCCTCCTCGGCTCCCTCCTAATGGTCCTCACGGGCACGACCTTCGCGCTCTCCAGCAACTACTGGATCCTCCTCTTCGCCGCCGTGCTGGGCGTCGTCAGCGCAACGGGCACGGACTTCGGGCCTTTCCGCAGCATCGAGGAGAGTGGATTCGGAGATTTCGACAAGCCACACGCGGGCGGATTTGTTTACGTGGTATATTACGCTTAGTGGGGTCGGGTCGGCGGTGGGGAGTGAGGTTTGTGGGAGGGTTGTGAAGGGGTTGGAAGGGCGGTGGGGGGAGGGGGAGGCGTATCGGGTTGTGTTTTGGGGGTATGAGGGTGTTGGGGCGGTTTGTGCGGGGTTGGTGTGTGGGTTGAGCGGACGGTGTGAGATGGGGAAGGGAGATGGTGGTGGGTATGAGATTGTTGGGCAGACGGAGGAGGAGATCGATCTCGACGACGACTCACCTCCCGCAAACAAGCCAAAACCTCAATGGTGGTCTATGTCCACCATCTCCCCGCCCACCTTCTCGATCATGTCCAAACTCTGGGCCCTCCTCGCCCTCGAATCCCTCTCCGAAGGAATGGCTCCCTACGCCCTCACAATCTACTACATGGACCAGAAATTCCACCCCTCGAAATCCACCCTGGGAGACGTCACATCCATCGCCTACTTCCTCTCCGCTTCGACATCCATCTTCGCCGGTTCTCTTGCCCGCCGCTTTGGACTGGTTAACACGATGGTCTTCACACACGCTCCATCCTCCGCCGCGATAATGCTCTTCTCGGCACCGACCAGCTTCGTCCTGACGGTGCTGCTCCTGTTTATGAGAACGGGTCTGAATAATCTCGATCAAGCGCCTCGAGCAGCTTTCATCGCGGCAGTGGTGAAGCCGAGTGAGAGGACGGCTGTATTAGGAATCGCGGGGATGTTGAGGACGATCGCAGCGATGCCCGGGCCTTTTGTTACTGGCGTTCTGGCTAGTAAGGGGCTCTTTGGGTATGCGTTCGTCATTGCTGGGGCGGTGAGGTTGGTTTATGACGCTAGTTTGTATGTTTTGTTCAAGGGGTTGGAGCCGGTGAGGGAGGAAGTTAGAGAGGGTGATGGGCCTTGAAGATGTAGAGATGTTGACGAGAGACAAGGTGACGCTATTTGAGGAGGATTCTAAAGTCACACTTGAAGGAGAATTTGAACTGACGAAAGAATCGTCATCAATTCCGGCGACGGCTCTTACTTCTGGACGCCGAGAACTACATCGTCCTGTCCGACCGACCGGACCGGCGAGCGGGCGGTGAGCTCTGTCTCTCTCAGCCTCACCATCCGGCAACGGCATGAATCAGCATTGAAGGTTCGAACGGCGTGCTTTGCCAGCTGAACGAGATTTTGACGGCACTTGCTACTTTGACGTTGTCTTTAAGAACACACAAAAGACAAAAAGAGAGCCTGGAACGAAGATGCCTCAATCATGGTCAAGGTGCGTGGCTGCGATAGTTGCCGGTCGTCAAGGGTCAAGGTAGGTGTTCATCAATTACGCATCTATCGATTCACATCTAAGGACTTTCTAGTGCGACAACCAGCGCCCCATCTGCGGCCGCTGCTCCCGCCTCCAACGCCCCTGCACAGGATACCGCGACCCAACCGACCTGATCATCGTCCAAGACGAAACGCAATCCGGCCGAGCGAGCAGTGCACAAGAACGCAGTCCCCGCAGCGCCACCATCGCCGACCGCGAAAGCGTCTCTCGCTCTCGATATGTCCCTCCGCAGCACTACACAGCCTGCCAGAAACTCCCCTGGATGCGGAGTGATCTTGCCAATGAGCCCCGTCCTCGACTGCATGATATTGCTGTTTCGAGATTCTTCGCACACTACGTTCTCTATCCGAATCGGCATGTCGGAGATGATGGCTATCTTCCTGATCTACCGTACTTCTATTCACGCAGCTCAGATGGCTCGACACTCCAGAGCGCCGTCCGGGCATGTGCACTTGCATCGTTTGCAAACGCCTCCCGTCAGTGCGAGCTCTCAGTCAGAGCTTGTCGAGCCTACGGACGGGCGCTGGAAACGCTGAAGGGGAATATTCTGGATACGGCAGTGATGAAGAGGGATGATACTTTGATGAGTGTGCTTGTGCTGGACTTCTACGCCGTATGTGGAATCGTTGTCTGAGGTCTGATCCAAAGCTGATTAGTGGTGTAGGTGTTGACTGATAAGACGCCGGCGTTTCTGGGCCCGCATTCGACTGCTATTGCGGCGATTCTGCAGGCGAGAGGGAATCAGCAAATCCGGACGACTGTTGGGTGGAATCTTTTTCGCGTTGCGCATCGACGGGTGGTGAGTGTTGAAGTCGTCCAGGCCTTTCTAGGTGTCTCGAATTGATCCATGTATTAGCAACATCGCAAGATGTTCATGCGGGCTCTGTCACAGGTGAGATAGTACTTCTCCACGATACAAACTGTGCTAAACATCACATAAATAGCCTATTGAGACGCTCTCCTGGTTCGAAGACACAGCACCCAGCCATATTGAAGCAAGGCTCGGTTACAACGGCTGCCGCATCATCAACGCATGTCAAAGGGCCAAAGACATCCTTGCCAGCGAAGATCCAACCTCCGACCTCGTGAACATGATCGAAGAACTCCACACCATCGCCATCGAGACGAGCGCCTGGACGGACCTCCTACCGGAAAGTTGGCTTCCCTGGACTTCATCGGATATGCCACACGACCCCGAGAGCACTTTACCCGACGACCTCATACCCAGAACCAACATCCAATACAGCGACATCTGGATCGCCAACACCTGGAACTGCCACCGCACCTACCAAGTCCACCTGCACGAAACCCTCTTCGAATGCTACTCCGCCCTCCCCTCAACCACACCCCCTTCCTCAGCACAGGACAAAATCCGAGACGCCGTTCGTCGCCTTACTAATGATATGCTCGACTCTATACCCTTACTGTTAGGGGTCAATGGCGAGATGCAGTATCATCCCGAGCTGGGGTCTTATTATGCTTTTGGGGTGATTGATTATGTGGGGAAGTCTGTGCTGGCGGGGGAGGAGCAGAGGGAGATGGCGAGGAGGTTGGGTGGGAGGATTTTGGAGGGGTGGAAGGGGAGGGGTGAGGTGAGGTGAGGTGAAGAAATTTGGCTGCTGGTATGGGTATGGCGTTCGGCATAGGTGTTGGACGGCGTTTGCTTTGTGGAAGGGACAGAGCGATTGGAGTTGGTAGTCATATTTGGCTTGATTCGACAGCCTTGTTTTACAATCAACCGGACCAATCTAAGCCTCACTCGTCCATACGTGCTGGCGCCGGCACTGCAGGGTGAAAAGACTCGTCTGGTCAGAGTTGGTCTTAAAGGCCTTCCCCACGATAGAACAAGACCCCTTGCGTCCCGGAAGAACCATCTGGCTCGGGATGAATGTCAAGTACTACGAATTGAAAAAGGCCAGACTATACGTTGAAAACTTTGAAAATGTTTTGGATCCCCAAAAAATGATGAACAACTCATGTAGGTATTACCCACACAGACATTCCCTACCCCGTAGTACAACATCAAACACCCCTCTACTCCTCCCCTTCCAACCCAAACAACCTCCTCGCATTCCCCTTCCCAACGTCCACATACCCCTCCACGCCCACCGCCCTCTCAATTGTCTCATAAGGATAATCCACACTAAACAACACCCTCTCCACGCCCACCTCCTCCACCACATACTTCAACGCCGGCGTGTAGAAGTCTCCGCTCGTCGTGATGTAGAGGTTGTGCTGGAAACTGTAGCGGATGTCGGGTTGTTGGCAGATGGTATCGCCTGAGGCGCGGGCGTGCGGTTTCATCACGTCTTGGATTCAGTGGTTGATGCGCCAGATGTCGAGGGGGAGGCGTTCGCCTAGGTGGCCGACTATAATTTGGAGGAAGGAGAAGCGGTCGAAGACGCCGGAGACGATTATTCTGAGCAGGTGTAAGGACACGCCTGTTGCGAATTGAAACGGCGGGCCGACGAGGTATTTCCCTTCCAACCCGCTGTACGCCTTCTCGAAGGCTTCGTCGTGGTAGCCCGCCGGTAGGGATGGGTGGATGTAGATGGGCACGTTGAGTTCGACACACACGGCCCAGAAGGCGTCGTAGCGCGGTTCGTCGTAGAAGTGCCATGTATATGCGTCTGCGCCAGCGTGTTGGAAGTTGTAGAGCAAAGCTCCGTGGAAATCCAGCTCCTTCACGCAGCGACGCAGTTCCTCGCCAGCTTGGACAGGGTCATGCATAGACAGACTTGCAAAGCCACCGAAATGCTCACGGGAGTCTTTGATCTGTTCGTAGAGATGATCGTTCAGACGGCCGGCTTCTCTGGCGGCTTCGTCCGGATCGACGATCATCTGGCAGCCTGGACCTGTGACGGAGAGGATCGTGTATCCGATGCCGTGCTTCTTGCTGAGTTCCAGGCGCTCGCCGAGGAGGGCACGTTTGGCTTCGACTTTGTCGGGTTCTTCGTAGGCTTCTTCGAGGACGATCTTGCCGTGGAGCATGATTGTGATGGTTGTTGGTTAATGGGTGGCTTGTTGCAGTTCAGGTGGGGTGCTTTGGAAATTGAACGGTAAGACTCAAGAGACTGAGGTTGCACATTTTATTTCTTGTCGAGGTGACGGTGAAAATGTTGCCGGTGCAGAATTGGTGCCGATATCTTCATGAGCGAATGGTGCGGTGATCGCAGGTCCAGCCTGATTAGGAAATAATGCTCGACAGACTACTCACTCACTCAGCCTCACAACAAACTCTTCCTGGCACGACCGCAATCAATGGACCTTTCAATTGCCGCTCAGAGAGACTTACTGATGCCATGGAGCTGGGTGGGCAATTTCAACAGCCGGCCTGCGATGTCGGCTGTTTCAGCCTCGTGCAACTGCATACAACAAAGTTTCCACGCCTAGGTGGTATCCGGTAGCCAGCTGATGAACGCTAGCCAAACGTCATCTAGACTTCAGGCGGTCGATCAGGAACGGCGCCAAGGTAGTGTTCACCCCTGGTAGACGCTGAATCATGACCATGAGATACAATGATGTTCTTCACGGCATCGACGTAGTATCTCGAGTTCTCGACAGATATTGGCCGGCAATCCAGGAGAACAGAAAATCGCGGAAGGTGACTTATTCCTTGACCCTCTCCACGTCAGAAGGTCCGCGCCTTGGAAGGCGTAGAGCGTTGGCTTCACCGTGGTGATGACAAAGGTTGAAGTCACATCCTCGAGGTGCTGACACTCAGCTATTATGTCCTCCGTCTTTGGATAGCCCAAAATGCACGCTCAGCGAGCATTGAATCGCCAGCTAGCCATCGGGCAAACTCGTGGATGTCCAGCCGCTGTGGCTTTCCACTTTCTGATTCTGAATGCTGCATGTCCACGCACCGATCTACCAAATCCTCAAGGGTATGACACGAACTCAAGGCGTCGCTGAGATCTCTCAGTGCAGTGAGAGGCGCATCGTTGGGTTCGATGGCCCAGTCCCAGTGATGAGAAGGACTCTGTCCGTGTCGTGGGGCTAATACGGACTCCATGGACAGGAACACAGGCAGGAGTTTCTCCATTCGCAGCAGATCCCAGTCGCTCAGCGTGAGCGTGCGGAGCTTGTGGCTGGTCCCCTCCAGAAGACTTCTACATAAGGTGCTCAACAGATCCGACGACGAGGACTGAGTGTCGTATACTATGCCCAGCGGCGAGGATTGAGAAGGCGAACAGAATCGCAGGTTGATGCAATCGATTTTTAGGTCCTCGTACGAAGAGAGATCGTGTTTAAAGTCAAGCAATGTGAGGGATCGTAATTGCTGGCAGCACCTTAGAATTGGACAGCAGTTTTCTACTTCATATGTCAGTATGGATGACATCTTACCAGAAAGCATCTGTCGTACCTCTACTGAGATCTTCATGGAACAGCACTAGCGACTCAAGTTTCTCCATATGCGGCGGCAGCCATGCTGGGAACGAGAGGAGTCGTGCATTCCAGTCAAGGTGCTTCACAAAGCTGAACTTGTCGAGTATTCTCTGCAAAGCTGATTCCACGTCAGAAATGCTCTCCATTCTCGGTACGGGTCCACGACCGTCAGGGCCTAGAGGAGGAATCAGCTTGATGACGAGCAAGATACATAGTGCCAGTGAGGTTCCTTATCATACCCGAAGTGTACGGATACTCAGAGGGTTCGTCAGCGGCTTGATCGACCTGAGTCTCTGACCATTCGGGATGCCACGTTCGGAGCTGAGACTTGAAGACGCTCTTTCCCCACGCAATGCGATCTTTGAAGATCCACTCTTCCCTACGACCAAGTCCCAACTCCTCCTCTTCATACGTTGAGATATCTGCCTCGGCTTGCATCGCGTTGCCAACGATATCATCCCACCACGAGAGCATGAAATTCCGCACATGCCTGCCGTACTGGGAAGCTGGTGACTGTTCAAGGAAGCGGTCCAGTTTCTCAATGTCTGATACGTAGTACAACGTGATGTCCCGCCACAGCACTGGCTTGAAGTGGTGCCGAAGTTGGCGATTGACCTGGGTCAGATTCGCCAAAGTGCGCGAGGCGCTTGTGCTTTTGCAGTCCTCTGCATAGCTATCTAGAGGGAACTGGTCCCACCGTAGTTCGTCAGACTTTGCTTGGACGAGCTGGTCGGACAGAACGCTGCCACCTGTATTAGCCAAATCTTCGAATGTAAGTAACAATGCAAATATGGCACATGCTCTAGAATTTCCGGCGGGAGATCAAGAAGCCCAGGCATGTTCACGGCAATCGAATCAGAGAGACACTGCACCGGTGTCCTCGCAGAGTTCGGGTATTGAATCTTGATTGCTGTCGTATCCGAAACTTCCTCCCGGCAACAGTAGGTGCTGCTTTGCCTGTGTATGAGTGTTTAGCGATGATGAGGTGTGGAGGGAGTGCGAGTGACGTCCACAGGAAAGCCACATCGTCCACGCGGAAGCTTATCGGCAAATGCTTCCGCTAGCGTACCACGAACACGGAGCGGCTGAGGGTCGCCCTGATTAGGTGATCCGGCGGGAACGCTTGACCAATGTAGATGGCGCAATCGAACACTTCACCCACCAGTAGCTCTCGACACTTCGAGCGCTCCCTGGCGAGAACCTCAAGGGGTGGTGGCGGAAAGTATCGACGACATGTCCCTCTAGCTTATACCGCCCAGCCTGCGATCTGACCCTCTTTCTGGGCAGACTGCAGCACCACATCGGTGTCAGGCAGGTGGTCATCGATGGGCATGCACTTACGAGCCCGGTCGAAGACGGCGGCGACTATAGAGCGGGAGTTGGGGGAGGTGGAGATGCCGCAGAGTCCCCACTACGAGGAAGAGGCTGCGTTGCAGCGGCAAGGACTTCTTCATGAGCAGCAAACGTACTTCAGGGAAGAGGAGAAGATGTCGTCGAGTAGTACTGGACTGCGGGCTGTCTTCTACAACCAGGGCAAGACTTTCTTTCTGTTGCTGGCTTCTTGGCTGCTGTTTTATCTCTACATCAGGCTGGTGAGTGGAAGACGCTTGGACATGAACCTTGAACTGACATGTGATAGCCCCGCACGGCCGACTCGCCACCCAGCGTGGTTGAAGACATACCATCTCAGGAAGTAGACGAAGTCTCTGAAGCCATCTTGGATCCTGCGAATCTTCACCTTCTCATACCTGCATCCGCCCCGGATCCCAACTTTTGCAAGGCCGTCCTCAGTGCTGGTATACTGGGATATCCGGCTCCAGTCATTATCGACGTGGACGAAGGCTCGGACGCGGGACTGTATACCAAGCTCTCTGGTGTGAAGAACTATCTCAAGAAACTGGACACCAGTCACGATGAAGACCTGGTACTGCTGGTGGACGGTTACGACATATTCATGCAGTCGCGACCCCAGACCCTCATCGACCGCTACTTCGGCATCAATGTGAATGCCGATGAACGGATCGCCACCCAACTGAAAGGCGCCGCAGAGGACAATGATATCAGACAAGAGATCATCTTCGGCGCTCAAAAGCGATGCTGGCCTTGGTCAGAAACCGATCCAGCCTGCTACGCCATGCCTCCATCCTCCCTCCCCAAGGATATCTACGGCCCCAACACAGACACCGACATAGGCAACGAACTCAACCCCTACATCAAATTCCGCCCTCGGTACCTCAACTCCGGCGTCGTCCTCGGCAGCGTCCGCGCCATGAAGAAGCTCTTCTCCCAAGCCCTCGAGATCCTCCAATACGAAGCCAATATGCTTAGCGACCAACACATCTTCTCGCACATCCTCGGCGACCAAGAACTCTGGCGCGAAGCAATCCGTCGAGACAGTCTATCCGGGCATGAGAAACTCCTCGACACGATCAAGGACTTCGTGCCCAACACCAAGTTCAACACCACCCATCTCGACCTCGTCCGCATCAAAGCCGCCATGCGTAAAGAGAAGAGCTACGAATTCCACATCGGCCTCGACTACGCCAGCGAACTCGGCCTCAGCACCGTCTTCGCGGAAGACGAAACCGCCTGGCTGACCTGGTCCAATACAAACCAACTCCTGCAAGCTGACCAAACCCTCAACATCACCCCGTCCGCCTCCCAACTCCAAAACCTCTCCACCGACATCTCCACCACCCTCCCGCCCTTCTGGACCTTCAACGTGGAAAAATCCCTCCAACGCTGGAAACCCTGGACCGACATCCCCCTCTTCACAAACATCCCCACGGGCGTCGTCCCGGCTATAATCCACCACAACGCACACCGCGAAGGCCGCGAAGCGCTGCGGCATACCTGGTGGCCGGAGACGTGGTTCTACACCTCCGCGAGGATTCTCTACGACGCCTGGGTGTACGAGCCCCTGGCGCCGATTGCGTTTAGTGGCGGGAGGGATTGGTGGCCGGCGGAGAAGTGGAAGGGGGGTGCGAAGAATTGGACAAGGAAGGCGGATGGGATGAAGTGGGAGGAGCAGTGGGTTAGGTTTGAGAGTGTTTGTGGGGAGTTTCATGAGGAGGTTTTTGGGGATGGGAGGGGGGTGTGGAAGTTGCCGGAGGATCATTGATGGGGGTTCATATGCGTGGGTGTGGTGGTGGGATATATATATTTGATACATAGATATTGTGTAGATTGCATATATTTATATCGCAGGATCGAACACTTCGCGAGAACTGGTATATCTCAAATATCAAACCCCGCCAGGCCCTGTTCCAACCCTCAGCTCTCAACCCCAAATAGCAAAAAGACCAAAAAACCTCCAACTCATTGGAAAAAATCACCTCCCCTCCACCTCCTCACTCCCAGGCTTCTCCCCCTCCCTGAACAACTCCCACTCGTACTCCTTCGGACACAACTCCTCCCACCCCAACCTCTGCATATCCGGCAAAAACGCCCCCGCCCCATCCCCCCTCAACCCCTCCAACAACCTTCGTCCATACGGCTGCATCCACGTCTGGGTCCACTGTTTCTCCCTCGCGGCCTTGTCGCCATTATGATGGATCATCACAGGGACTGTGTTCAAGCACACATTCGTGTACAGAGAGGCGTGCTCCCAGTCCATGGTCTCGTCTACGAGATCGGATAATGGGGGCGCCGTGCGGAGGATATCCGCGGGGAGAGAGCCGGTTAGGTGCGAGGGACAGTCGAAGATGCCCGTGCGGTTGACGAGTTGCGCGGGGATGTCGGATGAGAAGGTCAGGTAGTGGGCGTCGTCTTCGGCGTTGATGGTCTGATGGATGAGGTCGGAGAAATAATCCAACCCAATGCCGAATTCATCCTCCCTCCCCTCCTTCGCCTCAATCGGCTCGTGGGTGAATGGCGGGTTGAGAATATCCTCCACCACGACGGGTCCCACGCGGAGGGGTTTCGGTTTCGCCTTCCCTCGCATTTTGTCGTAGGAAGTCAGGTGGCGCCGACGCATGACCTCGCGCTGGTATTCTTGGATCCCGAACATGATGGCGAAGATGGCCTGGTCGCTGGCGTGGTAGGTGAAGTCGGAGCCGTGGCTGCCGTTGTCCCAGGGGTCGATGAAGCCGGGGCGGGTTTCCATGATATCGAGGGCGCGTTTGAACATCCGGCGGACGTCGGCGATGGGGCCCATGATGAAGCTGTGGAGTTGTTAGTATGTGTTGAAAGAATGGTGTGGGTGTGGGTGGACATACCCTGAGTTCAAGTATCGCTGTTTGGCGGTCGTGAAAGGATTCTTTCCCAGTTCTGAGTCTGTGTTGTTTCCGTACACATCGTCTGGGATCGGTGAAGCAGGGACAGGATAACAAGCAGCGGTCTGGTACTGGTTCGGCGCACATCGTTTCCCAGCGCCGAAGATGATGGTCTGTCGCAAGTTCTCCTTTTCGTACGCATTGCCCAGCCTCGCCTTCAGTCGCTTGTTGGCGGCTCCGTTTATGGAGTAGTAACGACTGATCATAGTCTCTGGTCGGAGCTGGAACCAGACATCTAGGGAGTGTTAGTACTTTGAAATCCTCGCAAGAATCCTAGAAGACAGACCATATGCGTCCATCATCATAACCAAGTCATCGTCTTGAGACGGATCCATTCCCTCAAGATACTTCAAGGTGTCGATGATCTTAGCTTTGTGGCTTCCTCCTGCTAGGAGGTAATCTGCCTGCATGTCAGCCATCACGTCCGGATATCAGGACGACCTCGCACTGACCTGTATCGAAAGTCTGGTTCCATGCTATCAAAGTCGGAGTCGGGTATCTCAAAATCGAACCTGATCTCGTCAGTACACATCCAGCCAATCTTGAAGGTGAACGTACCAGTCAAAAGCGTCTTGCAAAAATCAGCAGCGCCATGCGACGCAGGCAAAAGAATGTGGAGTTTGTCGGTCTGGGAAGCGACAGTCGTCAAATCGTCATGGGTATCATCGTGGGAAGAAGTCACCAAGGAAAGAGCCGTTTCTCGCGTTGGAGTGTGCTGTGGAACGTGTGTCAGTGCACTTTTTCATATGACTTCACTGCGCTTTGTTCCCGTACAAGACTCGAAATAAGAAGCACAATAACCACGAAAAGGGCGACGCCACCGATCACGAACGGCCGCTGGGACCTCCGCGAAGGCTGGTATAGCATCGCCTGACGGGCGCGAGACTTGATACTGCAACCGCCAAACGAATTTCAAGAAACGAAAAGACAATGTATCGACACCGACACAACAGAGGTCGTCGTCGCAGTAGGGAGAAGGGTGAGCCCATCCTGCCGACGTTGGGTTCGTGTTGGAAGGATTTATAAACTTTCAGTCCACGCAACACGCGGGAGCCAAACGGTGTTTGCCAGATGTGAAATGCGGAAATCCTGCCTCCCCTAGGCTGACTTGAGTTCTCGACCTGCATCCGTTTTGATTTTCGTGGGAGGGCCAATGGTAAGCGCGCCACCGACCTGAGTTCGAAGGGAGCGGATGGTCGAATCAGAGGCGTCGGTAGCATTTGCTGCATTATCGCCCCTTAGGTCCAGCGTCGTCGACGTGACGAGTCTTGCATTGTTCATGTTTTTGACAGGCGAAGTCAAGACGGAAAAGCCGGTATGAGGTCTTGTTACACGTATGTTTGCTACTTGGCGGGTTGGCATTTGACATGTGAGGTGTTTGGAGGTGTTCTTCCATGCGCGATGAAGTGAAGCTGCAGCGCTTCGCCACAAGTGTCCTGTACTAGTCTCTATTTGAGTTAGCCTGTGGCTTGCGGTAAGATTGGTTCACGGTGGAGATCAGGGGGACTCCGCGGGTTGACGTGGAGTTGTGAAAAGCCACAGCACGTGGGTGGTGGTATTGCGTGGAGTTAGGACCGTCTTTGTAGACTTCAGGCCACGCTTTTGACACTGCTCTTCCTCAAAAGACCGTCACAGCTCCACCAGAATATGCCTTCTCCCAAAGCTGCTTGCATCGGTAGCCTCCAAGCTCTGTCACGGCGATCCCCCATACCGAAAAGGTCGCTTCCTCGTCATCTGTCAACGCTCATCAAATATGGTATACCAAGGCTTAGGCCGCTCGTATACCCTGTGACGATGCTCTCGGTCCGCAGCCTCCGCAATATGATCACCCATCAGTTTCACCTTCCGGCAGGTCAATGTCACGAACATGCCACGAGGCTCACGATAATGCCTCGAAAACTCCCCGAGCGCTTCAAATACCGCATCGTCCGCCTTGGAGGGTGTGAGAACCTTCATAGTCACACGCAGATCTTTAATTTCAGCGCACGTCTGGAGCAACCTCAGAATCTGGCTGGGGAGGAAACAGCCGTACTTCTTGTGGAGCAAGTGCCTCACATGAAGTCGACGCAAAGAGCCAGATGCGGTGATGACGGCATCCAAATCGTGCCTGCAGAAATCGCCAATCATCTCGAGCTCTTTCAATGCTGGCAAGGACTGCAGGAAAGCCGGAATAGTAGTATGGTGTAGCCTGCGATGGTGTCTTGGCCACGCACAGAACGTCAGAGCTGTGAGGTCGCGGAAGGGTCCAATCTTGGTCGCCCACAGCAATATCTCTTCTTCGACTTGGCCGAGACGTAGGCGACGAAGGCGAGCAAAATCGGTCGAGGCGTCCCAAAGTTCGATGCACGGTATGTCAATCGACCCTCTGCCATGCTCGTAGCCATGTAGTTCCAAAACTTCCAGAGCTCCTTTGGGCGATACCTTGTCTGGGAATTCATATTTTCTCGGTGTAGGTCGAAACTCGGCCCGGCAAGCATGACGAGAAACAGCATTTGAAGTCACGAAGTTGTTGACTCGAACTTCTTTCAAGTTTGGCGCGACACCTGATGCGACTTTGACTATGGTCTTGTAGCCAAAGTCGGCGAAATAGTCTTCGTAGAACAGCTCGAAGCTGGTGAAGATGGTGCTCAGGTTGGGAGATGTTGCTAGCTGTTGCTCATAGCTGTCGAGTGCCTTGCCGTCCAACAGGCTTCTGAGACGGAAGCAACGCAAGTGCAGTCTGCAAGTTGGTAGCGACAAGTGTAGTCTCTCCAACAGACAAAGAGACAATTGATGCGGGCACTCGTAGATAAAGTCTTCAAGCCTCGGAAGTCTGACAAGCAGGTCTGCGAGTGGTTGCCACACAGCATCGTCTTCGTAAGTCTTTGAAGACTGCGCGAAGTCAGCCTGCCAGCGTAATTGGACTGTTTCGCCACCTTGGCCGGCGACATGGTGGTTTGCTACCCAGGGCTGATATTCATTTTCACCAGGAAATTTGACCAGAGGATTGTCATCTGTACGCCATTCGCCGAAGATCTCGAGGTTCCGGACATGTTTGAAGGCATCGGCCCGCTCCAAGGCTCGCACAAGACCCGAAATGTCGCGCTTTAGCTTATCCTGCTCGTTGATTCGGAAGCCAATGCTGCTGAATATGTGTGGCAGGGCGGCGGAATAGCATGCTTTGTTGAGTAGAGTGAAGCAGATGAGGTCTTTAGAATCTAAAAGGCTTGCGATTGCCTCGAGGATCTCGTATGGCAGACGGTCGAATGCTGCTGGAGACATTGTTTAGCATGTGAGCCGGTTCAACGTATGGAAGGGCGACTTACATTTATGTCTGGCATACAAACTTCACGGTCAATATCCAGGAAGATATCCATCGAGTCATCGAAGAACGTTGGGGCTGCTGGTGCCCGGTGGCCTAGATTTACAGATGGAGGGACGGATGAATGAGTAATGAGATATACTCTCCCTCGCATTGCGGCCACTGATCTCCAAAAAATCAGCATTGGAGTCATCTGGGTTCTGAGTGGATGTTGTTTGGTGTCGGAAGTGAGGAGCGAGAAGCCGGAAGCAAGCCTCCGAGATGTAGGGTCGGCCAGACCTAACAAACTCTCAACCTACTTAACCTCAGCCAAGCGAGCACTTACCTACCTTCTACTGCTCTTTCTCCGTTTCTTTTAGTCCTAATACTTTTATTCTTTCTACTAAAATACCTTAAAATACTATATATATCGTCTAGTGTACTATTATTATACCTACGTCCTTTAGACTCGAAAACTAGCGTAACTAGATCGAAGAACAAATAGCCTAGCGAGTACCTTATAAAACGATTCGAGAGGACCTTAAAGCGAGTACTAGTATAAGAGTAAGCCTAGCTACGATAGCTAGGTACCTAGCTAAGTAGAACGTTCGTATAAACGCCCCTTAAAGTACTCGCGATATAGAGCTCCGAGTACGAGTAGCGTTTACTTTCTACGTCCTCCGGCTTAAAGACGTAGAGGCCTATAAAGTATTACGAGTAGAGGGGTTTAATATTAAGGAGTATACGTATACTCGTAC